GTGTTGTATAAAAACAAATCCTGTTTTAAGTGAATGAAATTTCTAGCTGGAAAGTGATGATGTTTCTCTGGGTACAAAATGTAAAAAATCAATTGATTGTACTTTGAATCTCAGAATCTGTTCTGTTAAAGGGGGCTTTGAGAGCGGTAAACTGATAGTCTGAATTTAGTCACCCTATAAGCTAATTTTAAGCAAAAACATTTTGTTTCATTTTAGTCATGAATTATAATTTGAAAAATAAGAGGAAATTAAAACTAAGTAATATAAAAGTCATTTTGGAAAAAGATTAACGTCTTAAATTTGATAAAGAAAAACTAGGTAGATTGGATATTCATATGAATCTATGTAAGATGTGAGGTTTAACATTTACATTTCAACTTAAGCACCATAAAGTTTAGATTCTGTTTTGAGTTATGTTTTTTCAATAATCTTAAGCTTTGAGTAGACATAAGTTTCAGCAAGAATGTCAGTGTGTTTGGTTACAATAGTGTAGCAGAGTCCCTGTTAGGGAACAAAGGATTCTGTGTACCACAGCCAGATACACAACATTCCAGAATGAAAATGAGAGAGCTACACAAGCAACTGCCTCAGGACAAGCTAGAGCTGTCAGACTTTTAATATGTTTTCCTACTGTTACAGAAGTTCAACCAGCTGAATGATAGAAATAGTTTTGTATTGTGGGTCCAATATAATATGTAACTTATATCAGACATTTGGACTTGAGTTTAATTAGTTTTCTTTATCGACAGGGGTGTTTTGGAGGCAGTTTCATTTTCTTGAACAATTGTGCCTGATAATCAGGCACACAGCCTTGCCTCCTGCTTGTCTATGTGAAATAGATATTTCTCTTACCCAATATTTTAAAGTAGCTGCTCTGTGTTGTTTCCCAAACTCTTCTTAATATACTTTTTGCATCGTAAAGACCTTCTTTGTGTATTGAAAACAAAGTAGAAATTTAACATATTAAGCTCAGTATGTACTTAACTACCCTCAGTATACACTGAATGGCCGGATTATTATGATCTCTGAACACATAATAATCTGGCCACTCAGTGTATATCCTATATAATAAAAGGCTATATGCAAATTGTCCCCTCCCCCTGGCCAGGCTGGCCAGACCCTACCCATGCACGAATTCATACACCAGGCCTCTAATACACACACACACACACACACACACACACACACACTCTCTCTCTCTCTCTCTCTCTCTCTCTCTCTCTCTCTCTCTCTCTCTCTCTCTCTCTCTCTCTGAGTGGCCAAATTATTATGCGTTCAGAGATCATAATAATCTGGCCAGTCAGTGTATGTGGGGGGTTGGCTTCAGGATGCCTAGTGGATAACAAAATCCAAAGATGCTCAAGTCCCCTATATACAATGGTGTAGATTAATGCATGCAGTTGGCCCTTCACATCCGCAGACTCCCAACCTCAGGTCGTAAACAGATATACAGATTATTATTGAAAAAAAAACCGGCCTATCAGTGGACCTGTGCAGTTCAAACTTATGTTGTTCAGGGGTCAGCTATATTCAATTATTAAAGCTTGGGTTGACCAGCAATATTTTCATTAAAAAAGATGCCCATTTTATTGATCCTTTGCTTTTCCAATAAGATATTTAACTTGCCCAACTCTGCAGTAGATATAAAGAACAGGGGCTCTATAAAGATGACGCTTTGGGTCCTGCCACTCTTGCTCCACCCGTAAAGGTTCACTCAGTGTTACAACAGATGTTCTTTTAGAAAGAGGTTAGGATGCTCTAGAACATTTTAAAATCAATGTCTGTGGGGAACTCAAAGTAACGGTCTTTGCTCTTGAAGTCTTGTGGGTGAGATAAGACAGAAATATATGAAAACCTAAATTACAGTGTAAATATTTCGTATTGAGTCCCAAATGTCTCACAATATGAGTCCTGAAGATGCCAGAAGAGCAAAGGAAGTCACTGTGGGCATGACAAGGCTGGGAAGGCGCTCCTAAGGTGGAGTGCTTTGAGAGAAGGAAAGCAGTTTACTTGTTCTTTGGCCACCTTTGGTAAGGCGCTAATGTCACACTTTTTATCTACTCTTTACAGCCAGAAGAGTTGAGAGAAATCATTGAGAAAACTAGAGAGATGGAGCAGAACAATGGTCACTACTTTGACACGGCAATTGTGAATTCAGATCTTGATAAAGCCTATCAGGAATTACTTAGGTTAATTAACAAACTTGATACTGAACCTCAGTGGGTGCCGTCCACTTGGCTGAGGTGAAGGAAACATCCATCTGCGGCATGATTGGACTTGGTCTGGCACACTGTCAGTACGAAGGTAAACCTGATACTTCAGCAAGACTCTGAGGGTAAGGTGGCAGCCAAGTAGGCCTGTTGTTAGATCTCACACTATGAGAAGAAAATCCCCATAGCTAATTTGTGCACAGCAGCCTTTATCCCCTATGGCTTTTGGTTCTTGACTCATTTGGGGATTCTAAATGGAAGCTTTCAGTGGAGCAGTTCCATCTCATCCATGTAAAAACCTTTTGTTTTCACCTAAATCTTTTCTGCCTAGTCATATTTCCATGAAAAGCGTGTGTGTATATACACAGCAGCCCATGTCTCACATAGTTACAAATAGTAATGTTATTTAACAGTTAACTTAAATGACTTCATGGGAATTTGGGGGGTGGGTAGGGACTGTGCTGCTCTGAACTGGGCAAGATTTCATTTAGTTAGAAAACTGATTTAGTCATCAGAAATACTATCCTTAAAAATTCTTAGTGCTGAAAATAGATACACACCAGATTTCGAGAACTCACTCCAAAAAAATACGTTAGTTTATAGTGATTAAAATATTTTTTAAGGTGCCACTTTGGTCTGGAACTACTCATAGGCTTGAATTCACTTGTGTTTTAATTCTTGAAAAACATTCCGTTAGAAGCACCAATTTTTAGCTCAAGCTTTGTGGATTGGACTTTATCGCAGACTCTGATCTAGTTAAATGCATGATGACTTTTTAAACCAATGATTTTATGAATTTTCCTTTGTCTCAACTGATTTGATAACCTTGCTTCCTTTCTCTGATCTGCATAGTACAACAGAATGTGTTACATTTTTTATGAATGGCAGATGTTCATATAAACTGTGTTGACTGTTAAAGTTTCTCATAATGAAGTTTTTTATATACATGAAAGGACATAGCACCTTTGACAGTTTTTGCATTTTTATATAGGAGCACAGTATAATTTGATGACTGTGCTATATACAGGTAATAAACTGGAATTCTGTGATGAATATAGCTGCTGTACTGTATACTAATATTTAATAGATTGACAAATGGTTATTGATAATACTTGTTCAGATTGGACTAAAATTATATCTGAGGGAAATACTATGGCAATTGACTTTGAGATCAGAAGGGAAGAATAACCTGAAAGTCATTTGAACATTTTATGAAAGGAACATGGGTGGGGGTGGGGGAAGTTAAACATATATAAAGAGGCTTTTGTCCTAACAACATCTGTCTCTTAGGACCATAATGCAATAACTTGTTAAATCATAAATGTTTAAACTAATGGGATTTTCACACTGGCACGCAAAGTTGACTTGTCTTTTCAAGCCTTTCGGGATAGTGTGATGTGTGACAAAACCACCTCAAATGTGAATGTCATTTTATTTTTGTGATGACTTTAGCTACATTTCCTGTTCTCAAAGCTAAACACTGGAATAATATTGAATTGTCACTTAATTTAATGCAGTTTTTAACAAGTATTTTATGTCATGTGTATATTTGATTTTTTTCTTGTCTACGTACTTTGAACAAATGTAGACAGTTTATATGTTGCCTTTTTCTGTTCAAATTTGCATGGCGTTGAAGTTGGCTGCAGTGTATGTCTTATGTGGAAAGACTTTTATTAGGAAGAAACATCCTGGGTTGAGAGAAGGAATGCCATACATGCTGTCTCTGCAGGTCTGAAACACTCCAAGTTTATAGCAGGAAATGCACAGCTCACACTGATTTTTAGCATTGGAAACCAAGGTATATAAGCACTTCATCTTCTCAGTCTTGCAGTTTTTCTCCTCAGGAATGAAATGCAGTCAGTGGTAGACAGTGGAGTTTTGTGAGCTGCTTATCATTAATGACAACTGTTTTTAACCTAAGATCTAAAAAGTTGGCAGTTTAAACTTAGTTAGAATGAGATTTCAGGTGATGTCAGCCAGTGGCTGTTCCATTCCCTGAGTTAATCTGCAGACCGTAGATCCACATAACACCATGTGCTGACAAGACTCAGATGTGGCTTTAACAAGCAAATCCCCTACTAGGGTACATGCCATCCCATTGTATGCTTCAGGAAGTCTAAAGTGACAAGATATTTTGGGAGTCAATGAAGTCTTATAGTTCATTCCTCATCAGCAATGGTAGAGGTATAGAAATGTTTCTCCCAGTGATGTGGACATGCTGATAGTCAATACAGTCCCTAAGCAAAGTGAACACAGTTGTCACTAACTTCCTTGCAAGATAATGTAAACAAACCCTTGCTGTACACCTAGCCACTGTGGCCAGTTCCATTTCCTGTCCCTCTGTGGTTCTGATCGGATACCCCAGAGTGGGGAGGTCTGAACCACTTATAGGAATACCAATAGCTAGTAAAATGCACGTGCTAGTTCAAATAAGGAAATCTCTCCCTTTAGTGAATTCTACGTCAGAACTAACGAAAAGGAGAACAGTATTTAATCCAGATTTACTATCTATGAAAAGCTAATGTCTGGATTTTTTCCCCTTTTCTCATGGCATAAGGAATAAGTATCGATAAGGAATAATTTGAATGTAATTTTATGAATGTGTGTGAAAATATGAACCAGGGATTTAGCCTTAATAAGGTGACCTTTCTGATATTATTGTTAATCCTCCTTTGTATTTGTGTCCTGTATCTGCACTCTATTGTTTTGAGATGTTATACTGCACACTGTATTGTAAAAATAAAAAGTAAAATTATATTTCAAATAAAAAAAGCCACCAAGTACTTTCTCTTGCTTTATTTATATCCTCTGCTATTCAAGGTTTCAGCATATCTAACGACCATGCTGTCTTCACGTTTGTGCCAGCAGTCAGTCCATTGGAACCTCTGGGTGAAACACACATCTTTTAACTTATTCTTCACCAGAGGGGAATGCTCCCTATCGGCACAGGTATTAAGTTTTGTTTCCTTAATTTTTTTAAAAATGAGCAACTCAAATTAATCATTTTACTGTTTATATCACAGTCACATGCAAATTGGCACAACTGTTCCATGACAAAGAGAACAAAGAGAGACATGTCATGCAAGGTAAATTAAGGGGAGGCTTTCCTAAAGCTGGGGAAGTGCCAGACGGCCGCAGCTATCTCCGACAACAGCGCCAGAGGTGTGGGTGGGTAGGAAGGGAGGGTGCTCCGACAGTAGCTGGCCTCCTCGTATGGCCTCAGACCACTGCTGGTTCCCACGGGGGATTTCCTAATATGCTTGGTAAGCCGATCACTTGGAACCATTTATAACTGGGGTAGGGTGACACTTCTGTGGAATAAATTGTACAAGTTCTTAGGCAGGTTCTCCAAATCTCATCTGTGATCAATGGTTGGTAAATTCAGATTCTGCAAAAGTAATCCCGTAAGTGGACATACAGGGAAGTTTTACAACCAGTGAAATTAGACCAAAAAATACACCACCACACGAACCAAACCTACACACTGAACTAAAATGGTGTCACGTCAGGACTGAAAGAACCAGAGCAGGCAAGGTTACTCAAACAGAAGATCCTCATCCTTCTCTTCAGCCAGAAGATTGGCAGGCTCTGTCACCTCTCCAGCTATCTTCCGTTTCTCTAGTTCCCTCTCAGTTTTTTCCTTGAGAATCTTTTTCTTCTCCTGTATTTTCTTTAACCTGTAAAGTAAAGGGTTTTTCTGAATGCTATTTCAGTACTCAGTAGATTTGCTTTCTTCTAGTTTTGTAACAAGGATAATAAACACAAACTAGAACAAAAATTTATTGTAATTTCAGTTTTAGTAATAGCCCATTAAAAAAAGATTTGCAGTAAGAAACACATATTTTAAGCTAATAACTGATTTTAAAAACTCCTATCCCAAGGTGAATAAACTTTGAAATCATTCCCTGATCCTGGAAAGGATTTTGAGCATTTAGGCATTTATTAAAATTTTTTATTCCATTTGGCTCACCACAAAGTTTAGTTAGGACAAAACTAACTAAACTTTGATAATTAAGACTAGAGGCCTGTTGCCTTCCCGCCCCCCACACTTTCCCGCCAACCTCCTCTGCTCCCCACCCCATGCTTTCCCTCCCACCACTGCCACCCCCCGCCTGTGCTTTCCCTCTTTCTGCCACCACTCCTCTACCCTACCCCACTTTCGGGCTTTCCTTCTCACCGCCACCGCTGCCTTCCTTTCCACTGTCCCTCCCTCTTCCTTCTATGCTGTCTTCAGTCTTCACTCCCTCTGTGTATGCAAATTAACTGCCATCTTTGTTGGGTTTAATTTGCATACTCGCTCTGATTGGGCTGGTGGGCTTAGCGGAGTGAGGGTTAATTTGCATGTTTCTCTTATTAGTGTAGATTATAAATCATACTCAGATGCCACTCAGAGCTAAGAGGGCTGTGTCTTCCCTGAATATGCCTGCCTTCATCTGTCTCCCACTTCTGAACCTGACACACTGACCCTGTACACCGCCTACTTAGTATTTATTAACCCTACTAACTATATGTTCATAACCAATTACATACGTGCATTTCTCTCCCAAGTACTGTACCAATTCTCTAATGGTATAGTTTACACTATTATGTCCTTTCTGGAACATAGTCGACATGTAATACATACTGGTTGATTAATCCAGTTTCTTTTTATGTGGGAGATAGTCACCCCCCTTAAATCAGATTCACTTTTTAAAGAAACCAAGTCTATTAATAGCTCCTCTAACTAAAGCTTTTGGAGATGCTGTTTTAGGTATGTGCAAAACTTGGCATAGATCTGTCCTCATAGCCTTTGGCAATATTATTTCTTGTGGTTACATATCAGAGAAAATGCAAGCTATGCTAATTCTAAAGAACAGAAGCCAACAGATTTCTCAGCAAATAAGAGACATTGGAATATGGAAAACAGAAAATGATCAGTAACTGCCAATGCCAACAAACCTATAGAACTCTTCTCGCTCTCTCTCATCCAGCTCTGCGATGATATAAGCAAGGGTACGTTCAATCCTGGGAATGATGACTAGGGTTTAAAAAAATATATACCTGTGAGAACTTTCTAATTGCCAGTGCTCATTTGTATACCAGTTATATTTTCTAATTATAAAATCAATGTACATTTAATGCAAAAAATTTAGGAAACAAGAACATAAAAAAATATATATATATAATCCAACCACCCTAAAGTAACTATTACAAACATTTTGGTATATGCCATTTTATGTCTTTTCTACAGACAGATACCACATACCACATACAGACAGATAACATTGGGTCACAATATATTATGTCACTGAATTCATGAATATATATAACATTGAACAAGATTTGAATCTTCCACGCTCAAATATACAGTAACCTGTGGAAAAGTGGAGCATCAAAGCACAGAGAATGCAGTAAGCTGTCTTTTGTGTCAGTAATAAGGTTCTGTTTTACATGGAATTTGCCTATTCTAGAATGTCAGCTTGAGAGTTGGAACTATTACCTTATCCATTCCGTTTTGCTTGTAACTCCACGTATAAGGGCTGGCACTAGCAAGCAGCCAGGAAATGTGTTTTCAGTTTTTTAAAAATAAGGTAACTTCCTCTTTAACACTAATAAAGCAAAATAATTTCTTGGCTATTCAAATTTTTCTCCTTAAAATTGAAAAAATGTTCCTTTAATGAAAACTGAGTTTCTTAAGCAAAAAGTATTACATTAATACTTAGCAGTCAGTTTTGAAATAATAAAGATGGGAAATAATGCATCAAATGGGAAAATTTCTTTTCAGAATTTCTTTTCTTTCAAGAGAATATAGGACATTGGCCTAAGGGAGAGGGATTTAACATTAAATATTTGATGTGTTCAAAAAATGCATCATTCACTCAGTCATTGGAAAGTACTAAAAACACTATAGCTCTTGAGAAATAGTTTCCACTCTTTATTCTAAATGTATAACCAGCAGTGAATAAAATATCCCATAATTGTGAACTCGCCACTCTCATCTAACACCCAAATTATATACCTCATATCAAAGCACTTAATAATAACATTTTACAGCACCAATGACTGCACTACCCATTGTGGGCAGTATGTACCACCTGGCGGTCAGTGCCCGATCCTAGCAGTTATGCAACAAATGTAGAGGCGTGCACAGCAGATGAACAAAGAGCCCCACAGGCTTGCACTCACCATGTTCAATGGCATTTACACGCCTGTTGGTTATCTTAATAGCTTCATCCAAAGTAACAAAGGAAGTCTAAAATAAGAGGACAAATAAAATGTAAGTACAAAGTCTTCCTAATCCTGTCCTGTTCCTTTGCTCCACTCAGATGGCACCTGTAGAGGACATTTGGAAACCAAAACTAGTCCTTTCAAGTTAAAAATTGTAAGATTTCCATAGAGCTAACACTATCTCCATACTATTATAACTTACTTCAGGCTTACCTAAAGTTGTGAAAATGGCAAGAGGAGAGAATCATGCACAAATGACCTAGATACACCTTAGCTGGCCACAAAGGAAAGCCTCAAAGGTGTAGGAGGCTTTTCACTCATACACACCGTGTTAAATCTGCATTTAAAGCCACAGTCCTCCTCTAGCAGAGTGAAACCACCGCTGCACATTTTGTCAGTAACACAAGTTGGGACAGTGGTGCAGAAGTCACTATTTCAGAAATCAAAACATCTTTGACTTGTTTCACAGGGGTCATGAAAGCAGTTTGAAGTACTGAGTTCAGTACACTCTGAGCCAAGATCTGAATCTCCGGCACTCAAATATTAGAAGCCAAGCAGCAGGGAGTTCTCTGCCTACCTGCAGTGAGGCGAGTTCCACCAGTAGTTCCACTGCTTTGGCATAGTTCCTCTTTAATTTAGCCAGTTGTTCCCCACCTCTGGCTAAACCAGTCAGTTCATAACCTGGAAGAACCAGTCAGACAACACTTGTAATTGTAGAATAATCATCTTCCCTCTCAAATTCCCCAAAAGATGTCAGAACAGTGCCAAAATGGAAAAAACAAATATACTATCGCTATTAAATGCAAACATGAAGTGCCCATCTCCCTCCCCAGACACTACTGGACATGACAGTATCCACAGGGATACTATTCTAACTACAGGAGGTGTTTAACCAACCCCCACTTCACCAGACTGCTGGAGTAACCAACGTGCTCCATGCCCCAGCAGAACACACTGCCTGATGACACTCTGTTAATAGGTGACTCTCCAGAATGCTCTACTTTATTCGAACTTTACTAAATATTTTATGTGGACCAATGAAAGATGAGTGCCAAAGGAAGAACATTGCTATATTTAAAAAAAACAAAAAAACGAACAAAAACAGCCTGATTACTTGGGACAGACTCAACAAAGATATTTTACTACTCCAAAAATGCTGTCAAATTAGGGAATGGTGAGACAGTGATTAAAAAAAAAATAAGAGTGGGCTATGAAATTCTATGGAGATTCAGCATTCAGACTGTATCAGTGTCCAAGATCTTTTTCTACTTTACAGAGGCCCAAACTCGAAATTATAAATAATGTATTATGGGTGTGGTTTATGCAGAAAGACAACCTAGAAGTCTAAACTGAATTCATATGCAAAGAAAGGCCATGAACTTATATTTTTAAAATGTTACATGATTGTACATTTACATATCTCTAGGTTAAAACATTTTAAGACATGTACAATGTTTAATGACTCCCTGACATAACACTTCTTTGATAAACTGATTACCTACTGTCCTAACTGTATCCGATAAGGCTCTAACATGGGAACCACCAAACTCAATCTAGCACCATTTTCCAGAACAAGGTTCATTTAAAGAGGAATCGGAGAACCCAGAGACACTTACTGTCGGTTCCTTCATGGTAATGTTCAAATATTGGCAAGGTAACACCTGTTAAACACAGAAAAAGTCAACAGATTGTCTGGAATTGTAACTGGTTTCAAGGAATAAAATTAGGAACCTGCCTTCCTAATTGTTCAATCCTATTCAAAAATTAAATTAGCCTGAGTAATAAGAGATCTGGTTGTTTCAGTGGTGTTTTTCCCCCCCCTTCAGCTTGGAGATATACAAAACAAATTGCACATATTTAATACATGCATTTTGATGAGTTTAGATATATGCATACACCCATGATACCATCACAATAATCAAGATAATACACACCATCATCTCCAAAAGATTTATGTGTCCTTTTCCTGTGTGTGTGTGTGTGTGTGTGTGTGTGTGTGTAGAATTCTCAACACCAGATCTACCCTCCTAACAAGTTTTTAAGTGCACACCACCATATTTTTCTATTGGCACTATACAGTACAGCATATTTCTGGAATGTGTTTATCTTATATAACCCTAACTTTATATACATTAAACAACTTCCCATTTCCCCTACCATAACTCCCTGGAAATCATCAGTTACAATGGGTTTTAACATGTAAAGCCAATCAACTTGCTCTTAGAGTCTAAGTAGAAAAGATTAATTGGGATATCCAGACATCCTGTAAACCAAACCATAATATGCTAATGATATGCTAAGGCCGCTCAACTGCTCACTATGATGTGCACTGACCACCAGGGGGAGACGCTCTGACAGGTAGGTTAGCTTGCTGCTGGAGCCAGATATGCCCTGGAGTCCTTCTGCAGCGTCCTTTCCAGTCCTGATCATGCATCAGTGCAGTCCCTCAGCCTGGCCTGTGCCCTCTTGCCATCCGGGACAATTTGTAACATTGTCAGAGAGCTGGTTTTGGCCCCATCCCACAGGCCAGGCCAAGGGACCCCATTGGCACATGAATTTATGCACTGGGCCTCCAGTTGCTGAATAAACAGGTTAATTTTAAAATGTCACCTTTTCTCCCCCATGGAGTCTAAATGGTTTAAAAATTACCTGCTACATTATCTTTCTTTGCTCGAATCTTCACTTGAGCTTTATTCACATTTTGGATAACTGTTGTGCTGCAGGGGGGAAAAAAGGGCCTTGGTTTAGTTGAGCTTTTAGAATGAAAGATAAACCTACCATTGGATAATTTTAACAAGAGTGAGGTATCAAAATTAAGTATGTCCTGAAAATGGTCTTTTTCCCAAAAAAGGGCAAAAATCACTACTTCCACAGGAGGTCCTCAGAGAGCAAAGACTAAAAATTAGTCATAAAAAACAAAGAATGATTTTAAAGTATTTGGATTGCTTGAGTTTTTAGTCAGACATGGGATTTTCATTCTGTTACTGTAATTTAGAGAAAGCTTTCTTTCCTTTTAGGTTTGCTGTTCAAAACTTCTAAGTTTGGCAAAAGGAGTACAATTCCTCTTCTAGAACTTACCTAACTTCCATCTGGCTTTGTCTGACTCCACATTTTTTTTTTTTTTAAATATAGTTTATTGATTTTTTACAGAGAGGAAGGGAGAGAGATAGAGAGTTAGAAACATCGATGAGAGAAAGTCATCAATCAGCTGCCTCTTGCACACCCCCTACTGGGGATGTGCCCGCAACCACGGTACATGCCCTTGACCGGAATCGAACCCAGGACCCTTCAGTCCCCAAGCCGACGCTCTATCCATTGAGCCAAACCGGTTTCGGCTGACTCCACATTTTTATCGTAATGTGTTTTCCCTCTAACCACCCTAAGGTATTCACACACCACCTACACACTACTGATTCCTCCCTCTGCTTGGAAATGCTAGTGCAAGTTGTTATCCTACCGACACTGGCAAAACTTAAGTCTGCTGCTTCAGAGGCCTTGTGGCCCTCAGGCTGTAAGACGTGGCCCACCAGGTAAGGCTCCTAGACGGTAAGAAACACTAAGAATAAAGGCACTGTGTCAGTGAGTAAAGAAGACTAAAGCCAGCCATGGCCTGTGTGGCTCAGCGATTCGAATGTTGGCCCAAGTACCGAAGGGTCACGGTTCTATTCCCAGTCAAGGGCACATGCCTGGGTTGCAGGTTAAACCCTCAGCCCGTCAGGGCAAACAATCAATGTGTCTCTCTCACATCATCTCTCTTATCGTTGTTTCTCTCTCAATCTCTCTCGCTCTCTCCCTTCTTCCTCTCTTCTTTCCTCTCCCTCCCTCACTTACACTCTCTCTGAAAACCAATGGAAAAAATATCCTCAGTTGAGGAATAACAACAAAAATTAAGGGAAAAAAAACACACACTAAAATCAAAACCCCTGAAAATAACTTCCACCTCTGCCCCTAAACAGTCATTTGACTCAGGAAGGCACTGAACTTAACAGAAGAACTGCACCTCATCTGTTCACAGGCCTATTTGGAAATTGGCAAAACCCCTTTGTGAAGGAATACTAAGCTATTGTGAATGCTTTGTAAGGCATATTTTGATATGACAAAAGCCATAAAAGTCATGCCGCCTCCCCCCCTTTTTAATATATTTTTATTGATTTCAGAAAGGGATATTGATCGGCTGCCTCCTGCACACACCACAGTGGAGATCAATTATCTTTTCTAATACCAAAAAACAACAGCAAATCAACCCAAACGCCTTCCATTAGGAGAAAAGGTTAATAAGTTACGGTACATCTAGAGTAGGGGTGTCGAACTCAATCAGAGAAGGGGCCAAAATCTAAAATCCAGCCTAAATCGCGGGCCGAATGGTTTACTGAACAGTCATAAACTGTCATTGTGATGGAAACGCAGCGGAGTGCAGTGATGACAGCGCGGTGCGGGCCACATTGCAAGGCCTGGCGGGACGGATTTGGCCCGCGGGCCTTGTGTTTGACACATGTGATCTAGAGAAAGATTATGCATCTAGAGAAAGTGAAAACAGGGGGAAAATGTTTATGATAGCATGTTAAATAAAAATGGACCATAAAATATCAAGTATCTTGTGCCTACAGCGATGTAACAGATACATGTCGGTAGTAATGAAGATGGTGATGTTAAGGGGATGGGTTTAAAAGTGTCCTTCCTTATTATTAATATAGCAATTGTTTTTAATGCTAATATTTTTAAATTTAAAATTTTTTTAAATGAAATTATGAACATAGAACACTGATTTTTCAAAACAATTTAGTCTTCTTACCTGAAGTCCCCTGCTGTGAACTTGGCCTCAGCAAGTGAAAAGGCAGCTTCTCTCATCACTTCACCCATCAACATTTTAGTCTGAAAAAGTATAAACCAATAGCCGATTCAACCAAGTTATTTTACCATCAGTATTTCATGTCAGGTGTGCATGTAAATATAAACATTGACTTGATAATGATAAAACAAAATAAAAATTTCCTATTTTGCTTTAACAGGTTTTGTTATGGTCATAATCATATTGCAAAACCATGAGTTTTATAAATAAAACATCAAAATAAAGACATTAAGAAAGAGAAAACTGAATCTTTACTACAGGACTATGTTTTTGTTGAATGGATTCATAATGATTTGCTCAAATTAATCTCCTAAATTCGCTACAGTGCAGTCAAAATCCTAATGGCATAGTGATTCTAAAATAAATCTGGAATATTTAATGTTTGAGAATATCCAATAATTTTTAAGAGAAGTATAACCAGCCAAGACCGGTTTGGCTCAATGGATAGAGCGTTGGCTTGGGGACCAAAGGGACCCGGGTTCGATTCCGGTCAAGGGCATGTACCTTGGTTGCGGGCATATCCCCAGTAAGGGGTGTGCAAGAGGCAGCTGATCGATGACTCTCTCTCATCGATGTTTCTAGCTCTCTATCTCTCTCCCTTCCTCTCTGTACAAAATCAATAAAATATATTTAAAAAAAAAAAAAAGAAGTATAACTGGGACAGTGGGTAGAGAGTTACCTTACCAAGTATTAAGATGTATTTTAACTATAAAGAAATACATCTGGTACTGGAACACTAAGTCAATGAAAGGAAAAGAGAGTTCAGAAACAGCCCCAGGACTATACTGGAATTTAACAATGTAAAGAGACCACTCAACTGGTCATGCATTTCATGCATTTACAAAATGATGAAGCTAAATCCCTAACTCCTCAGATCACACCACACACACACACACAAATGATTCAAGGTAAAGGTTTATTTTCAAAATTATAAAATAGCCCAGCCGTTAATTCCCAGTCAGGGTGCGTGCCCAGGCTTTGGGCTAAATCTACAGTAGGAGGAGTGCAGGAGGCAGCTGGTCAATGATTCTCTCTCACCATTGCTGTTCTATCTCTCCCTTTCCCTTTCTCTCTGAAATCAATAATATATATATATATTAAAATAAGATAGCAATTTTAGCACAACAGATTGGCAACAACAACAAAAAATTAATACCCAACTAAGAAAAATTTAAGGAAATAGGTCCTTTCACTAATCATTTATTAGAAATGTAAATTAGTATAACAATTTGGAAAGCAATTTGAGTTATCTATCAAACAATTAAATGATTCTTGAGATTCTAGGACTTTTCCAGAAAAATCCTAGCATACACTTAAGGATTTAAGAGTACTCTCCCCCACAAAATGGTAAAACTACACATCCATCAATAGAGAAACAGTAAATTCCATGATCCATGCAAAGGAGTACCATTTGGCTATTATAAAGAATGAGACCGTCAAAACCGGTTTGGCTCAGTGGGTAGAGCATCAGCCAGCAGACTGAAAGATCCCAGGTTCCGGTCAAGGGCATGTACCTTGGTTGCAGGCACATCCCAGTAGGGAGTGTGCAAGAGGCAGCTGGTCGATGATTCTCTCTCATCGATGTTTCTATCTATCTATCCCTCTCTTCCTCTCTGTAAAAAATCAATAAAATATATTTTCTTTAAAAAGAATGAGACTGAACTATATGACTATATGACGTAGAAAGCTGTTATCACATTCTGCCATGAAACGAGGGAAGGAGGAGTGGGGCAGAAAATATTACATAAATATAAATATAAATGTGTGTGTGTGTGTGTGTGTGTGTGTGTGTGTGTACTTGCATGCACGTTTCTTACCAAAAAATCTGTGTGTGGACATATAGCCACACAGGATACCATACTCTTGGTATATGCTTCACAAAAGCAATACTTTCAGTAGGTGCTACCAAAGAAAGAGGGACTGAGATATTCAGGGAGAAAGAGATTGAGAGACAGAAGATGGAAAGGATATAAAACAGAGTCTCTCAAAGAACTCCTCTGGGAAATGAAAAAAGGATAGTTGTGGCTAGGAGAGGGGAAATGGGAAAGAACCTTCATTTTTTATATACCACTGTATATAATTTATCCAAAAAGCATGGAGTTAAATGTACTAGCTGCCAACACTGTTCTAGCTACTGCAAATACATTGCTGAAAAGACAGAATCCCCTTCTGATGGAACTTACATTCTCTAGTAGGGGTAAACTGTCAAACAAATACCATGCAGTAGTATGTGCTATGATAAAAACAAGGAAACATGACAGAAATACAGCGGTCATTTCAGAATGGGTGGTCAGCGATGGCCTCTCTGGAGAGACGAGAATGCAGAGGAGCCAGTCATGAGTAGTTCTGAGGAAAGACATTTCCAGCAGGAAAAAAACAGCTAATGCGAAGCCCCTAGAGGAGGATGTTAGGAAGAATAGGGCAAATGAGGTCAGAGAGGCAGGTAGGGGCCAGATTAGATCAAGTGAGGCTCGAGAACAAGAGTAAGGATTTGGATTTTATTAAGGGATCCATGTGAAACATTACTTTATAATGGTATTTTTACTTTTGAAAGAAAAATTAATTAAAATAACAAAGAGAAATTAAAATGTCAACAGCCATGCTGGATTTTCCTTAGATATTTCCAAAATAAATACTGTTCTAAGCACAGTTCATCTACCTCTATGATCTTCTTTAGGATCTGTCGAAATCGAAGAGTTAGGGCATCAGATTTCTTCTTCAGGAGGTTTCGACCTGTCTGTGCTCCTTTCAATCGAGCCTTCATGATGGTCTGTGCCCTATGTAAACATAGTTAAAGACATTTATTCCCAGTGTTTAAAAGAAAGAAAAATACCTCCCCAATACAATGTTAAAATTATGCTTTATTCTTTTATGTCAACAGAATAATATATACAGCATTTGTAGCTGACAGGTTTAGTTGGTTTCTCAATACCACAGAGTTCTGCCCTCAAGTGTTCCCTAAATGAGAAGTTTATTTAAAACTAGAACAATGTTGCCAAAACCAGTTTGGCTCAGTGGATAGAGTGTTGGTCTGCGGACTGAAGGGTCCCAGGTTCGATTCTGGTCAAGGGCGTGTACCTGGGTTGCGGGCACATCCCTGGGAGCGGGTGTGCAGGAGGCAGTTGGTCATCTTTTTCTCTCTCTCTCTCCCCCCTCTCTCTCTCTCTCATCAATGTTTCTAGTTCTCTCTCTCCCTTCCTCTCTGTAAAATATCAATAAAATATTTAAAAAAAAACCTAGAATAATGTTTTAATCTATATCTGGCATAAATATTGTCATAATAAAGTTTATCAGGAGTGTTTTTCATAATTCCAACATAGTTTAAATACTTAATGATTTATAAATTAAAACAATACCTGTTTCCATTAGAAGTGTTCCATCCCTAGCCAGGTTAATGGACAGAGCAATGGCCCGCTGACTAAAGGGTTATGGGATCGATTCCGGTCAAGGGCACGTACCTCAACTGCAGGCTCTATTCCCAGCCCTGGTTGGAGCACGTGTGGGAGGCAACCAATTGATGTGTCTCTCTCACATTGATGTTTCTCTCTCTGTGTCTCTCCTCCTCCCTTCCTAAAAATCAATGGGAAAAATATCCTCGGATGAGGGTTAACAACAACAAAAAAGAAGTGTATTAAGGATTTTTTAAAACTCTGTCCACTAATTTATGCATTTACCTTCAGGACCAATAATTCCACTTGGAGGAATTTATCTTACAGATTTACTCCCACAGGCATACAATAATATGTACAAAATTATGGATGAGTACTCCAACATCCTATCTAATAAAAGAGTAATTGACCATCACTCCAAAACACAAGATGGCTGCCCCCATGTGGTCAAACATGGCTGTCCCCATGTGGACACAAGATGGCTGCCAAAAGATGGCCAGCAGGGGAGAGCAGCTGGGAGGGACAAGGTCTGCAAGGGAGGGCAGTTGTGATCAGGCCAGCAGGGGAGGGCAGTTTGGAAGGGCCAAGCCTGGAAGGGAGGGTAGTTGGGGGCAATCAAGCCTTCAGGGGAGGGCAGTTAAGGGTGACCAGGCCAGCAGAGGAGGGAAGTTGGGGGCAACCGGGCCTGCAGGGAAGGACAGCTGGGAGGGCGGGGGGGGGCAGGCCTGCAGGGGAGAGCAGTTGGGGGGAGGGGGGGAAACCAGGCCTGCAGGGGAGGGCAGTTAGGGGTGGCCAGGCCTGCAGGGGAGAGTAGTTAGGGATGACCAGGCCTGCAGCGAAACAGTTTGTCATCAATCAGGCTGGCAGGGAAGTGGTTAGGAGGTGACCGGGCTGGCAGGCAGAAGCTGTTAGGAGCAATCATGAAGGCAGCCAGGCGAGCAGTTGGGAGCCAACAGTCCTGGATTGTGAGAGGGATGCCTGACTGCCCGTTTAGGCACAATCCCGGCAGGGGTCCCAGATTGGAAAGGGTGCAGGCTGGGCTGAGGGACACCTTCCCCTCACCGCCCCTTGTACGAATTTCAGGCCTCTAGTTATTTATAAGAGCAAATGGGTAGAAATAAGTTAAATGTTCCATAAATTATGTTTCATTATATAATGGAATGATATGCAGTTAAAAAAAAAAAAAAAAAAGGAACGTAGGTCTGCTTGTGCTTCCTATATGATATTGTTTAAGTTATGCAAAGCATGGAGGGACAAATATGCTTATACAGATACAGAGAATAGGAAGGATTCACAGAAACTACAACCATTTCCTTTGGGAAAATGGGCTGACTTAAAAAAAAAAAAAAAAAAGAGTGCCCTGGCCAGTTTGGCTCAGTGGATAGAGTGTTGGCCAGCAGACTGAAGGGTCCTGGGTTCCATTCCAGTCAAGGACACATACCTGGGTCGCAGGCTGGATCCCCACTAGGGGGCGTGCAGGAGGTGGCCGATACATGATTCTCTCTCATCAATGATGTTTCTATCTCTTTCCCTTTCTCTCTCCCTTCTTCTCTGTAGTCAATTAAAATGTATTTTTTTTAAAATAGATTTACTTTGTATTACTATATTAGAGGCCCAGTGCACAAAATTTGTGCATGGTGCGGGTGCCCCTCAGCCCAGCCTGCACCCTCTTGAAATCCAGGACCCCTCAGGAGATGTCCAACAGCCGGTTTAGGCCAGATCCCTGTGAGATCTAGCCTAAACCGGCAGTCAGACATCCCTCTTGCACATTGAGACCGTTGGCCCCTAACTACTTGCCTGCCTGCCTGATCGCTCTTAACCACTCACCTGCCTGCCTGATCACCCCTAACCACCTCTGCCTGCCTGATCACTCCTATCAGCCTCTGCCTGCCTGATCACCCTTAACTGTTTCTGCCTTCCTGATCACCCCTAAACACTTTGCCTGACTGCTTGATCACCCATAACTGCCTCTGCCTACCTGCCTGATTGCTCCTAACCACTCGCCTGCCCACCTGATCACCCCTATCAGCCTCTGCCTGCCAGATCACCTCTAACTGCTTCTGCCTTCCTGATCACCCCTAAACACTTTGCCTGATCACCCCTAACCACCTCTGCCTACCTGACTGCCTCTAAGCACTCTGCCTGCCTGCCTGCCTGATCACCCCTAACTGCTCACTGGGGGTCGGCCACCAGGGTGAGGGGCCGAGGTCATTCTGGTCTCTGGTCGTTCTGCCTTTTAGTCGCTGGGCATTTATTATATAGGATTCTTTTGTAACTTTTGTATTTTACTCCACAATCTTTTATTACTTTTTCTATTAAAATGTGGCATTAAAGTGTTTTGAAATCAATCAAAACCCTAATAGCAATCATTTTATATAAATGACTTTACATAGAAAATGAATGTAACAAATTAGGTAACAAATGACATATATAAGCATTTATAATTTACTAGAGGCCTGGTGCACAAAATTTGTACACGGTAGGGTCCCTAGGCTTGGCCAGGGATCAGGGCCAATAGGGACCTTCCAGCTGCCAGCCAGGGCCTCCCTTCCCCTGCTGCTGACGGGGGCCTTCCTTCACTCCACGCCATCCCCTGGTGATCAACGCACATCAGAGTGAGTGAGGGAATTCCTGGTCTCCCGGGTGAACTCCCAAGGGGACACTTTGCATATTAGGCTTTTATATATACAGATTAAATGACATATGTAAGAATAGACTCCTGAGAAGTGACAAGCTACTGAAGTCTCCTTACCGCCTATTTCAATCTTTTCCCATCAGAAACCACAATACCAGAGTAAAAAAACCAACAGCAGAAACTGACATTTCTGTTCTTGCTCCCATATGCCTGATAAAATTTAATAATGGCCAAAACCGGTTTGGCTAGTGGCTAGAGCCTCGGTCTGAAGACTGAAGGGTCCCAGGTTCGATTCCAGTCAAGGGCATGTACATTGGTTGTTGGCACATCCCCAGTAGAGGGTGTGCAGGAGACAGCTGGTCGATGTTTCTCTCTCATCGGTGTTTCTAGCTCTCTATCCCTCTCCTTCTTCTCTGTAAGAAAATCAATAAAATACATTTTTTTTTAATTTAATAGTGGGGGGAAATGGGCAATAAGATCCAACAATAGATTATCTTAGATACTTAGAGTGATTTGTTTAAGGAGATATAATTTCATATGAATGGTGTTATAACCAAATGCAAAATAGTATTAATGGACCTTTGGCTAAGTTTTTAGATTGTTGAAGTCCTTTACCATAGGGCAAAGGTTATTGAAGCAATTCTGCAGCTGGAAGGAACTTTCGACATTATCCTGAAAGTTAAGAAAATGAGACTTAGAAAAATGAAACAGCTGAGATTGGTTTGGCTCAGTGGATAGAGCTTCGGCTTGGGGACTGAAAGATCCCGGGTTCGATTCCGGTCAAGGACATGTACCTTGGTTGCGGGTGCATCCCCAATAGGGGGTGTGCAAGATGCAGCTTGATCTATGACTCTCATCAATGTTTCTAACTATCTCTCTCCCTTACTCTCTGTACAAAATCAATAAAATATATTTTAAAAAAAGAAAAGAAAAATGAAACAACTTTCCCACAGTCACTCACTGAAGAAAAAACAGAGCAAGACAAGAACCAGCCTTCTGACTCCAGGGACTTGTCTGAGGCTCAACCGCAGGTCCACTGTACCCCAATTTCATGGGACACTGCCTCCCCTACATTTTATAAATAGCACCAGATGTTCTCTCTAGTTATTGGGGCTGCCTTTGACTGGCTGAAGAGCTAACCATGTGAGGCAGGTTCAGTCTCCTGCCTCAGCAGGATTTAGCTGCCCCAATGTGTATTTTGAAACATACTGTATTGTTTACACTAACCATCAGAATTTGGAGAAGAGTTGAATCAAATGTAAGTCAAATCCTAGTATTGCAGATTCCAGCAAGTTTGATAGCAAAAAGGTGAACTGGTTTATAAAATTGAACTGACCAGGTTAATTTTAATTTCCTCCTAGGTAATGGCATCTCTGTAAAATAGACACATTTTTACTCTTGACACTCAAAGAGTGACCTGCCCAAGGGCTTACAGCCCTTGTAGGTATAACCTGGATTTGACTGACTTCTTTAGACTTCATATCCTTCATGTCTCTTTCAATCCCACCCTAAACTTGTTTTTCTCTCTCTGCTGCCTAACTGGGTGTCAGCCCCATTTCACAGGGTAACATTATAAGAATTGTCTCAAAGAGAAGTCACTAGTGTACTTCCTAACCTGGCTCTTTAAAAAACTTATTATTTTTCAAGTTTCACAGATGCTCAGCCCTACTTAAAGTGTTTGACCTTCAGCTCCAATGATAACTTATTTCCAGATGAATCAAAGACATCTGACTACATGACAAAGTACCTGGGCTAAGCCTTGGGGGAAATATTTAGAGAAGCTGTTACTTCCTGCACCTGATTTTCCCCTTAAACAGCAAGCTCGATGCTCTAAAAGAGCAATTTCCTCCTTCACAAACCTATCATTCTTCTTGTCTAAGCCGAATGAAGTTTATTTTCACCTCTCAGTCTTAAATTCCGACAAAAAAAAAAAATGTTAACATTCTGACTACTAAGATTAACACAGTCAAACATTAACTGAAGCAGTGAAAACTGATTTTCCTCAGGAACCTCTGACAATAGGGGAAGGAGCTGACGTGTGTAAAGGTGACTGCATTTTAAAAGAAGGAGGGAGAGAAGGGAGAGGGGATTCAAGCAGACTCAGGGAAGTGAAAAGTTCCAGAAGGCTGGTCAGTGGAAATGCGATTGGGCCTCCTGTGTCTACCAGCTGACATTATGGAAGTTAGGGTTCCATCCTCACAGACAGAGGCCTTCTCCTTCCTGACTACATTTCAAAAAAATGATTTTCAGGTCTTTGAGAAAAACACTTAGAATTTATAGGGAGAGACATATTCAGGGTGTCCCAACAAAATCTACACATATACTTTGAACAATTATAAAGGTAGTGTTTATTAAAATACATTTTATTTTCAAAGTTGAGTTATCAGCTCTTAAAATGTGTAAACCTTTTTTGGGACACCCTATACATCTCAACCAGAAAATGAAGGACTCATCATTGTAAGCCCTTTTCAGTAAATGCCCTAAGAAAGAGAGGACAGGAATTGCCAGCAGGTGTTGACTATTATAAATTAAACAGTAAATTCTTCCAGTGGCTCTGAGCTTTCTCAGGCAGACATTTTAACAGGGGCTGGTGGCATTAGGAAACACAACCGTAGGTTGCTGTAAGCTAGGGGTTAGCCATCTTCCCCACAACTGACTTGGTTCCAAACAGCTATTAGAAAGCCAGTAGGTGAAAATAAAAAAAATACACAAAAAGCCAACAACTCCTTCATTTCATTAAGAGCTGTAGCCACCCAGGCAGAGACAGAAATCTAGGTTTGGGGGTTGAAAATAACTTTTTTTTTTTTTTAGGAGAAAAAGGTCAGGATGAAGAAAAGCAAAAAGAATATTTCCAAAGAGATAGGACCACAACAAAAAAGATCTGAATGTCAAAGCCAAAACTGATGGTCTGCTGCTCACTGAAAAAAAAAATAAATAAAAAGAAGAAAAGGAAAATGAGAAGAGGGCAAATAAGAACAATCTTTTCTTTCCACACATTGTTAGGTACTTATGAGAAAACCTCAACGTTTTCTTTACAGACTGGCCAAACACCTAGGGCCATGTCTTGCCAAAGACATCGGACCAAAGAGAAAGGCTGCCCACAAGTGAGCAAATTCCAAGGCATGGGTTCATTCGAGGAACATTTTTTTTTTGTGTGTGGACTGTCTATCCTATACAATAATCCTATCTAATAAAAGGGTAATTTGCAAATGACCAAACTACTGAATAGTTGGTTGCTACGACGTGCACTGACCACTAGAGGGCAGACGCTCAGCGCAGGAGCTGCCCCCTGGTGGTCAGCGCGCTCCCACAGCGGGGATCTCCGCTCAGCCACAAGCCAGGCTGAAGGCAGCAGAGGTGGCGGGAGCCTCTTCCGCCTCTGTGGCAGCCCTAAGGTTGTCCGACTGCTAAAGGGCACAGGCTGGGCTGAGAGGACCCCCCTCCCCGCCTCCCCTTCCCCCTAGTGCACGAATGTCTTGCACCGGGCCTCCAGTGGATTAATACGTGAGAGCGTGCACGGTCCAGTGGGAACGTTATGCAAACAATTACCATCCACTTTACAAAGGGATGGGTATTATTAACATAAGTCTGAACAAGAGGAGTGCCTCAGAAACTCGGGGTACCTTCCCATCGCAGGTGACATTTCATGGAATCACGGAAAATGACTAAGGGGTCAAGATCTAACGTCCTCGCTAGGGCATTTCAATTCTACACCGCATTTGGCTTAGAAGCCTCTTCTAAATGCTTCCCACAGCAGTTAACCTCCTTTCTCAACCCATTTATCAAACCTCGTTAGCTTGCCCATCTCTCCGCTAAAATGAGCATCGACTGACAGTTACGTAATCCGGTGCCAGTTTCCACAGGGAGGGCGGAATGAATGGCTGGGTTCGTGGACAGGGCTAGCGGACCTTCACAAAAGCCAGCAGGCCGGGCGCCTGTTGCTATGGGCAGGGATGGCTCTGGCCAAGCCGGTTCTCTCGGAGGAATGAATATGTGAGGGGGCCGTCCGGGAGCCTCGCCCTGCACCCACGAAGCAAGACCGGGCGAGCTCAGGATCCGCCCAGAAAAATCAGGAACCTCGGCGCGGAGGGAACGAGAATCCCGCCAGGCGGTCCTGAACCTAATGACATTCGTTCTCTTACTTACATTCGCGAGGGAAAGATTTCGATTCGGTCTTTGCCCGACATTCTGACGGTGACTGTCCGGCTCCGGTCCCCGGTCAGGCAGACGTGGTTGCCACAGATCCAGCCACAGCGTCGTCTTCCACCGCAGTCAGGTGGTTGTCTCACTCGACCGCCCGCCCCCCTCGCGTTGCTAGGAGACCGCCGGGATTCGCATTCTTCACTTCCGCTTCCTGTTGGCTGGAGTGGTGAGGGTGGGAGGGCGTGAAGAAGACAAGGCCCGGATGTGGAGGCGCGCGCACCGCGAGACTGCCCCTCACTTCCGGCCCGCTTCGCAGCCCCTCCCGCTCCAGTCCCCGGCGGCTGTGCTGAGCTCTCCAAGCTTGAAGCGAAAGAACCGGAGAGAAGAGTACACCCTTCCGCCTTTTCCGCTTATCATCTGTGGTCACAGCGCCACCTCCTGACTGACCGGAAGCCTTAAGAAAGGATTGATTCATCAGGGACAAGGAATCGGAGTCCTACCTCTTCCCTGCGCCTTGAAGGCCACTTATCAAAAAAAATTAAAGAAAACTGTGAGAAAGGCCCTCCTGTGATCTCCGTTCTTCCCTGTTCTCGGAGGACCTGGACTCTATGGTCAGTGGGGAAGAGGGGACTCCGTTCTGTCGGCGCTTGCGCGCTGCGAGGCGGTGCCGCATGCGCGGTGGGACTGAGCGAGGCGCACGCTGGAGAGGATCGGCGGCGGCGGCGGTGGCGGAGCGAGTCTGATCTCCACAATTCAGGAGCGCGGCCCCGGACCCCACTGTAGGAGTCACACGTGTACCTCAGGTGACTAGAGCGCCCTAGATCGGTTCCCCCAAGATCTCGCTCTGGTTGTAGCCAGGACCTGGGTGGTCTTGGGAGGGGAGGGTAGGCCCGGGCTAGCACCTCCTGTCCGGGCGCCGCCTCCGGCTCCGCTCGGTCTCTCCGCGTTCCCGAGGCGCCTCGGTGGGAGCGCAGGGATCTCGTGAAGGAGAGTGGGTTCGGTGTCCCTAACGTGAGGGTGCCTTGAGGTGGGGCGCCCCGGGAGGATGCAGGGACACCCCCGCCGCAGAACGTCCGAGCACTTCGCTCTTTCCGGGCTTGAGAAGTCCGACCTTTTTTTTGTTTTCCTCTTTTCGGTCCCAGGAAACACCATCTCCCGGTGGAAACCGGACTGGACACACCTCAGGGGACCGGTGGGATGGGTCACAGTACTGACAAGAGCTGGGTTCTAAAAGGTCCATGCGTAGTTTATTCATTTGATCGTTGTGTGTGTGTGTGTGTGTGTGTGTGTGTTTAACAATTGCAGCTCATATGCTGCCTGAAAGCCCGATGTGAACATCGCTGTGGAATGAATCACACTCCTCGAAACTAAAACGAGCTTCCTGTCGGTGTACCGTATTTCAGCACCGATGGGAACAGGATTATGAAATTACACGCTGTGGTCTTACAGTTCAATAAAAAGGAGAATGTAAAATAAGGGCGTGTTAGGGTTAGATACGTATTCCGCCCGAGAGGTCCCATTTTTATTATTCCCCAAACATAAGGTACTTTAATTTTCATTAAACGAGAAGCATTGTTTCCTGGGGGGGAAGGTGTAGCAGAGAAGTCTTAAGTTTTTTCCTGATGGAAGTTATTTAGGGGGGGAAATTGTGACTCCGTGTGTTTGAAGAGTTTGGGAATTGCTTCTACGCAGCTGTCCTGCCAGTTCATCTGATGCCAGATGATCTCAGAGGTGCACAGCCATGTGTGTAGATATTGGTGCTTCTTTTTCCACCACACTGAGGTCATTTAGAAGCTTTCTTTCCTGGAGCACTCTAATTAAAATTACACAAGAGTTGCTTCTAACTCGTAAGACATGTCACCTCGGAAAGGAGTGTGGGCTTCTCGTATCCATAGTTTAAGAAAGAAGTCCTCCCTGCCGTTTGACCAGGCAAAATTACTGGCAATGTAGAATATTCGAAATAAGCTGTTAATATATTCCGAGAGATGGATGTTCTTTAACAAAGAACACATACGGTATTCTAATACTGTGACATATTGAGGTTCTGTGGGTTAAAGACACTATTGAATGTCATAAGACTTGGTTTTAGCTTATGCTTGTACATCGTACCTACTAGATAGCACAAAATGGAAATAGTGTGTTCTTTGCCTTTACTATCTTATAGTTGTACTGGAGGCCTGACTCCCACATCTACAGCTGTTCCCAAAGTGCACTGTGCTACTTGCCTGACTTGAGGGCCAAATAACATAAGTCAAAGGGCTTTGAAAATTAAAGGGTTGATAGGTACCTAACTTGTGGCTTCTGTTTTCCTGACTGATCTTTTAAAAGTTGGTGTCATTAGCATAAATAAGGAGATATGTTCGAAATCTGCCAGCCAATATGCAGGTTCTCTGTGAAATACATTCTGTTTGTACTTAACTGGAATCTCATGAAGGAAAGTGGGCCAAGTGACCATACAGCCTCTTCAGAACACTTAAAGGACGCCTTGAGGTGGGGTCCCTCAGGAGTACGCAGTGACACCCCCGCCCCAGGACACTGGACATTTTGCTGTTTCCAGGCTTGAGAATTCTGGCTGTTTTTTTGTTTTGTTTTGTTTTGTTTTGTTTTGTTTTGTTTTGTTTTGAAACCGTGAATGACATATCATTAGCAGTATTCCTTTATTTGCACTATATATTGCAGAGACGTGACCTTCCTAAAGCTGTAGAATTTATCTCTCTCTTCAGGATTCTTTTACACTATTGACTTTGTTCTTTAACCATCAAAAGCCTTGCTTCCCCAAAATTACCAACTTTATTACTTGAAGAAACTTGATAAGTAAATGTGGTCAGCACATGTTAAAGTTCTTAAAAACTATTTCACAAATCTCCATGACATCATTTTATTTTGATCCCCAGTTTAAAACTTTCTTAGCTCTCAAATTTTGACAACAGTCTGGTTGTCATCCCCACTACCCTATGCAAAAAACAAAAAGCCCTGGTTAAAAATAAAATGGCCAACTCAGCTGTTTTCTTTGTGGGTAATTCTAGCCATTGAATGTCTGCTTCCCTTTATTTGCTAAATTCCTATTTTGTTAAGCTACAAGAAAATACATCTCTATCACTATTATAAATGTACTACTTCATTTTTTTGTTGTTAAATAGGATAGGTTAGTACTAAAAGTTTTCACTAATCTGTAGTATATGCTTCAGCACTGAAAATGCATATTAATGTTACTCTTTGTTTAAAGTGTTTCTGATTGTTGTACATTTATCAATAATGTTGAGAGAAAATATTGCCTGATGAAGAATAAGCACAGACTGTGGATCCAAACCTCATAGGTTCAAATTCTGACACTGTCACTTAGTAGTAGTATATGTCAGAACAAGCTGCTTAATCTGTGCTTCAGTTTCTTCATCTGTAAAATGAAGAGAAAGTGGTACCTCAGGGAGATAGGCAGCAGCCAGATCATATAGGACTATGTAGGTAGTGGGAAGATGTATGTAAATCAATGATCAATGGGAAGGTACATGTGGGTGCAGTTGAACTGCAGCAGAACTCTTGGTGGCCTCTGAGCTGGGTGTGAATACCCTGTCTTTAAGATCAAATAATGGAAGCCTTATTTCCCAATTAATAAGAAAAACAGCCCTAGCCAGTTTGACTCAGTGGATAGACTATTGGGCTGGGGACGGAAGGGTCCTGAGTTCGATTCCAGTCAAGGGCACATACTGAGGTTGTGAGCTCCATCCCCAGTGGGAGGCATACAGGAGGCAGCCAATCAATGATTCTCTCACATCATTGATTTTTCTCTCACTCGCCCTCTCTGAAATAAATAAAATATTTTAGGAAGAAAAACAATGTTAATAAATTTTTCATAAACATTTAGGTCCTATTATTGCCTGTCTTGTGAGCTTTCACAAGAGTAAACTGGTTAAGGTTAGCAGAAAAATATGAAAATCATCAATTGGTTAGTTTGAGAGCTTCTGTTTAAAAATATATTTCTACTCATGGTGAGATTTCAGGTTTGTGGGTCATAAAAGGAATGGTGCTGAAAATAGGTTGGGTGGATCAAAGAAAATAGTTTTAAATAGATTTAATGTTTGGAGTTTAAGAGAAACTTGAATTCCATAGTAATGAAGGTCTATAAAGCTATTCTCAAGATTGGGTATACTTATTCAAAAGAGAGTGGAGTGATGAAACAATTAGAAACTAGAAATTATGATAATTGTGAATTAAATTAATTGTGTTAAGAGGGGAAAATTTGGACAAGAGGGTACATGTTAGTTAAATTTAATATATTTTGTGATTAATAAACCTATTTTTTTTTCTGACATGTGATATTGTGATTTCATCTATGATAAATTATAGGGTATATAATTTCACATATGGTTAGGGTTTAAGAAACTACTTCCCTTTTTAAGAAATGGGTACAGTCTTGGCTGATTTAGAGAAAGAATAAGTTTAGAATTTTGCTGGTAGGTTTATTGATGCTTCCCATCATTTGTTTTTCTTGAAGTGGTGATAGTAAAATAGTATTTAACTCTTGAGGTATCTTTATCCTTAGATCTCAGAAGTACTTTATAGGTGGTCATTAATTTTTATGATTCCTCTGAAACTAATGGCAGAGAATCACCCAAGCCTTACAAAAATGTGGAACAGCATAAAAATTAAAGCATGGTTCTTAGACAGCATCTGTTTTCTGGTGCCATTTAAGAAGTTTAAAGAGGTGAGAAGACTAACAACTTCCAGTGGCAACATGTGGAAAATTGACTCACATTTCTTATTTTGACCTTAACTGAGCACTTACTTGATTGTTTTGTTTAAATTGCAGAATGCCGGGTCTGAGTTGTAGATTTTATCAACACAAATTTCCTGAAGTGGAAGATGTAGTGATGGTGAATGTAAGGTCCATTGCTGAAATGGGGGCTTACGTCAGCCTGCTGGAGTATAACAACATTGAAGGCATGATTCTTCTTAGTGAGTTGTCCAGAAGGCGTATTCGTTCTATAAACAAACTCATCCGAATTGGCAGGAATGAATGTGTGGTTGTCATTAGAGTGGACAAAGAAAAAGGTAAGTGAAAAGAATATCTAAAATACAGGGTGGGATAAAAGTAGGTTTATGGTTGTGACAGAATTTATACTTGTTTTAACTATTGTATTACTTTCCATACAGACAATTACCCCTACATTTGCCCCACTCTGTATAACTTTCAGATTTAAAATGGTTTATTAGAAAATACATTTTTTGTAAATTGCCTACTGCAGTAAAAAAATAAAATACCTCCTTTTACAGATTATTTTACATACAAAGTTGTTAGAGAAGGATTCCAGTTAACCATCTAAGCAAGATCCCTTAAGTTGTGGTTTAATTAGTACATCCCAAGGCTCATTTTTATGAGTCAAAATAACTTGAATTTTATTCCCAGAGGAATTTTCTATTTAACATTTTTGGACCATCGCACATAAACAATTTATATGTTTTAAATTGCACACCATTCTAAAGAGCTCGGTGAAATCTCTAGCCTTCCTGCCCAGGCTATGAATCACCTCTTTGTCCAGCGTATCCACACTGTGTACACTACCTGCCCATAATTACTTAGTAGCCATCTCAGTTATCAGATTGACTGTCAAAGTATTGCAGTGCTTATATTGAAGTAACCATTATTTTATTTAATAATGGGCCCCAAATATGTATAACTTTCTTTGGATATGCCAAAGAAAAACCATTATATGCATCCTTTAAATGAGATGCTATATATGTATAGGGGGAAATAGTATATATAGGGTTTGATATCTGCAATTTTAGGCATCCACTGGGGGTCTTCAAATATATTCCCTGTGAATAACAGGGGGCTATTATATTCCTTAAACTTTAACAAGTCTTCATAGCACTGCCCCAGCATTACCTAAAATGGTATGTTATATTTCTTCCTGCAATCAGAATCAAATTTCCACCTGCTATCAGAAATATATTTTATTATCATATTAGTAGACCTATAAAAATAATTTCCATAGCTGCATTGCTTGTACAGTATTCATTAAAAACAGGAAATAATAAAAATCATGGAGAAATAAATCATGACACATGATGTGGAAAGATGACCAAGGTAAGATTAAAAAAGGCAACATGCAGATGGTCCTATGAAGGGGATCCATTAAGGATATTACAAGATTAGTTCCTATTGGACAAACCTGTAAAAAGAACAGCTGTAAAGCCTGAATAAATATTAAAAACAAAAACAACTACCTAAAGACAATGGTAGCAAAAGCAGGCTGGAATTGCAGGAAGAGGGGAATTGCACTGTAGAGTTTTGCAGCTTTTTGTCTGAATGCATATCACAGCTTCAATAGCATAGTTAACGTTCTAGTGGAAACCTACAGTCTTAGTGGCTTGAGAACCAGAAGTAACAGTCTGGACAACCACAGTGGATGGAAAATAGTTATAGAGATCAGAGAAAGGAGAGATACAGGGAGAACCCCTAAATTTGTATATAAATTCTGCTTAAATCCTGGCTGACCTCTGAACTACAGGGTGGACTGCAAGCAATCCAATAGGGCAAACTTTAAACAGATTTCAATTGCTTTACACCTGTGGAGACAGCTTATAGTTCTGAATACAAACAAATTAACTGCCTGCTAAAACAAAATCAGTATCCTTAAGGGTAACATAAAGAAATTCAAAATCTGTCACATTATTCACAATGTTCAGGATACAGTCCAAAATGCCAAACAGGAAAATATGACCCATATAGAAGAGAAAGGGCAATCACTGGAGACTGACCTAAAAATGATCCTTATGTTGGAATTAGCAGATAAGGATTTTAAAGCAGATATTATAACTACTCAAGGACATTAGGATAATATGCTTGTAATTAAGAAAATGCAATCTCTATAGAAATTAGAAACTCTTACACAAAAAACTAAACTCTACAAATCAAAAGTGTAATATTTAAAAAATTAACTGGGTGGGCTAACAGATTAAAGATGGCAGAAGGCTCTTGAAGATAGTAAAACTTGAAGATAGTTCATTTAAAAAGAACCAGACTGAAGAACAGAGGAAGGGAAAGGTCAGATATCAAATGTTCCATTTCAAAGGAAGAGAGAAAAGACAGAAAATATATTTTTAGAAATCATGGCCAAATGTTTCCAGTATTTGCTAGAAAAATATAAACTTATAAATTGGAGAGGTTGAACAAACCTCAAAGAAATACTAATAAAATTGTATCTAAGCAGATCGGACTGTTGTAAAACAGATAAATTGAAAATCTTGAAAGTAGCCAAGGGAAATGGCACATTATTTACAAAGGAGCAGTAATATAAATTACTGTGGCGTCCTTATTGGAAGTAATGGAGGTCAGGGCATTGAATGACATCTTTAAAGTAGTAAAAGAAAAAAAAACTGTCAAGCCAGAATTCTATATCTAAAGAAAATAATTTAACAGTGAAAATCAAAATGAGACCTTGTCAGGTAAATAGAAATTAAGAGAATTTATTACCAAATATACCTGCATTATAAGAAATAGTAAAGGAGTTAATTCAGACCAAAGAGATGTGATGCCTAAAGTAAGAAATATGTAGGTAAATTTTAATGATCTTTTTTTCCCCCCCTAATTTTTTTAGAATACATTTAACTGCTCATCTCTATTTGAACCAGTAGGATTTTAATTTATGGAGGTGACTGTTGATATAGAGAGGCCAATGCCATGGAAAAAAAATTTTTATTAAGTTTCCCAGGAGATGGGGACATGCGTGTGCTATGCAGAGCCACATGGGGAAGCACCAGATTTGTTCAGGAGGCAGAAGGAGCAAGGGGAAAGCCAGAGCCTTTATTAAGATTCCATAGGCAGGTCAGGGTAAACAGTTTAGAATTGGCTAGTTTGAATAGTTCTGGCTTTGGGTTGATTTAAGGCAGAGGGAATATTGGCTTGGTGTGTAAGACTTTGATGAGGAAATGGTTAGGGATAATGGGCTCGAGATTAGTTAGTTGGCATGTGAAAGGCGGCTCCAGGTGAGCCTTCGCTATCTCTAAGAATTGGCTAGTCCTGGGAAGGGCTTTTCTTCTTACCCAGTCAGCCAGGCCATCAATGTCAGAGCACCATGCAGACCTCTGGCGCTCAGATGAACAGGGGAGCCTCAGGGTCTCCCCACACCCACTCTTTTGTTCACATTCGTGATTACAGTACTGATAAGCTACAACAGACAAGTGATCACAGCTTGTCATCCCAGAGGTCAGCACCCCTGGTTTACAGAGTGACCTCAGAGAATCCCCAGCCAGACCCTTTATTCACATGGGTGTTTCCAGCATGAACTTAGTACCACAGAATCCAGGTGCTCCTGTGATATGGAAGAAACACCAAAAATGTACCTCTTCCATGCACACACAGAATAAACAGTTGGAGGCTCTTTTCCTACACCATGTTTCTAGATAAAAATCTTCAGAAGGAATTCTCTTTGAAACTCAACCTACTGGAGCCAGCAATAAAGACATGGTTGAGGAACTGGTGAGTCAAAATGAAGCAGCAGCAAAGAAACTATTGCTACCTAAAGCAACCAAACCAGATTCTTCCAGCAAAAATGTGCCCACATCAACCAGTCCTTACTCTTTTTTTTTTTTTTCTTGTATGTTCAGATTTCTCTAGTTCCATTCCACCTCAGCCCTTAAGCCCTTCCAATTGGGCATGGGAATCTGTTGTCACTGAGAGTCCCACAAGTGATGTCCAAATGCAAGCTCCTCAATTGGAGGAGGTAGTGGCCTTAGTTCCTGCTTTACACTCTTTGACTAGGGGCCTGGTGCACAAAATTTGTGTACTGGGAGAGGGTGTGTCCCTCAGCCCAGCCTGCTCCCTCTCCAATCTGAGACCCCTGGGGGATGTCCACACAGCAGTCGGACATCCCTATCACAATCCGGGGCCGCTGGCTCCTAACCTCTTGCCTGCCTGCCAGCCTGATCACCCCTAACCACTTCCCTGCCAGCCTGATTGACACCTAACTGCTCCCCTGCTGGCCTGATCGCCCTCAGTTGCCTTCCCTTGCAGGCCTGGTCACCCCTGACTGCCCTCCCCTGCCATGGTCACCCCTAACTGCCCTCCCCTGCTGGTCTGGTCGCCTACAAGTACCTTCCCCCCCCCCCTAGTTGGTCCGAAGGTTGTGGGTTATTGTTAAGCTGATTAACAAGTACCCTCCCCTGCTGGCCATCTTTGACCACATGGGGGCAGCATCTTGTGTGAGGGCATGAAGGTCAATTTGTATATTACCTCTTTATTATATAGGATGCTTGTGACAGCCCAAAACATGGAACTTAAGTTTTCCTAATGGGGATGAAATATCCAGCTCTTCTTTCCACTGTCTATGTCAGTATCTCTCATCCACCGGCCCCATCTAGAACAGGGTTCTTCTCTTAGCATATTTGCTGGTGTAGCTGTAGATCTATTTCCTGGGCAAACCTCATCCAGTATAACAAGCTGAGGCCTTGCAAGCTATAATCTTATACAACCTGAAATTTCAGAACCCCTCCACTATGGTGGACTTTAGATTTCTCTGATCAAATTACTAATGCCAGGTTGTAGGGGAGAGAATACAGAAAAATGGAGAATCTTTTGACTAGCTTTAATTTGGCAATTGAAAATTATTCCTTCCATTGAGGTAATAGAGAATATACAATTATATGATAATCTAAATGCATTTCTGAAAACAAAATTTATCAGGATTTTAGTGGGGAGTAAGTATAGGTATACCAACCAAACAGCTGGTTGTGGTATGCTGGCATCTGGACAGAGATAATTATTTTCTTTTTTTTTTTTAATGCAGGTTACATTGATTTGTCAAAAAGAAGAGTTTCTCCAGAAGAAGCAATCAAATGTGAAGATAAATTCACCAAATCTAAAACTGTAAGCTAATTTTTTAGTCAAATTAATCCACTATTTTATGTACTTAATAATCAGTAAGTCCTGTTCCTGGCAAAAATAAAAAACAAAACCTACATTTTCTGTAACTATATTTTCTGTAACTATATTTTCATTTCCAGTTGTGATACATAGAAACATGACTTAAAGATTTAATTTCAAAAGATTATGACTGCAGTGTTTTTATCTCATGGTGTTACTATCTCAATGTATGATCTAATATTCTCAAAACAGTACTGAATGTTTTTAAGCGACTTTAGGAATAAATTAACTGGGTGATTTCTTTTTATTTGGTTTGTCATAACGTAGTTGACTTTGGTCCCTATTCTGGAATAAAGGTCTCAGAGACAACTGTTCTATGTTAAAAATGAGTAAGAGTTTGTAAAATGTTTGTGAATCTAAGAAAGCAAGGCAGAAGCCTATTAGTAGGTGGGGTTTTTCCCTGGTTGAGGTTCTTTTTTTCTTTTTTTGCTATAATTCCCTACTTCCCCACAATAAACATAAATAAAGCAAAAATAGCCATTTTTGCATTCGTCTTCTGTCTGAGTTCTGTTTTCTGATCCTATTTAGATTGTCCTTCATTCTTGATGACACTGTTTCCATTGTTTCTTTTTTGTTTGACCTTTTCTTATAATTCGTAATTTTATTGATTTCAGAGAGGGAAACAGATAGAAACTTCAATGATGAGAGAGAATTGTTGATCAGCTGCCTCCTGCACATCCCTTACTGGGGATTGAGCTCACAACCCAGACATATGCCCTGATTGGGAATCAGACTGTGACACCCTGGTTCATCGGTTGATGCTCAACCACTGAGCCACACCAGCGGGGCATGTTTGCCCTTTTCTTGTGTCTTTTGTTCTCTGCCGTTTGTCTTTCTGCCAAGAAAACCATGTTAAATGAGAAGATTTTTGAAATCTTGTTTGACTAGTAAAACAGAAAAATCTAAAAGCCATCAGACCATTACCCAATCTTTCCCTTTGCTTTACTGACGTGTTCATTATTACTGCAGTCTGGTTTACACATTCAAAAGTGCTATCACTAAAATCCCTTTTTAATGAACTCTAGGACCTTGCCACTCAGAGTAGTCTTTGGACCAACAGCATTGGCATTGCCTGACTGCTTATTAGAAATGCAGGATCGCAAGTCCCAACAAGTTTGAGAATTCACATTTGAGAAGCACTGCTCTAGAGAACTTCCGTTTTGTTTTGTCACCTGTGTAAAATGATGTTAGTGGGTCTTATCAGGATGATAAGATGATAGACGAAATAGCCACTGTTAGTGCCTTTGCCTTTTCTATACTCTTTCCTTTAAGCCTTTTTAATTTAGAAAAGGATTTAGATAAAGTTTGGCAGCAGTGGGTGAGATTGAAGAATAACTGTTAAATGATAATAGCAAAAGAAATACTGAAATCTCAATCCTGTTTCCATTACCTCATGTGGAGTGGTAATAATAATACCGTGTTTCCCCAAAAATAAGACATCCTCCGAAAATAAGACCTAGCGCAACTTTGGGAGAAAAAATTAATATAAAACACTGTCTTATTTTCAGGGAAACAGGGTAGCTTATATTTGTTTAACAGGATTTGTGTAATATACAAATTTTATACATTTGTATAAAACATTTGTATTATGTTTTTCATTTCTAGTATTGCATTTGTATTTGTTTGATCTATGTAAGAGCTCTGCAGTAAAAAGGAGAGAAGGAAACATTCAGAGGTTAATTAGAGTCAAGATGTAATCTAAGTGTTAGGGCGCTAAATTCTACTATTCTACTTGTTGTACCTATTTGAGTTTATTCTCTATGGAAAAGAATTTGTTGTATGGCGATCCTTTGTTAAGAAATTATTGTAATCACTTTAACCAAAGGTTTGTTTTTATATGCTATCTAGTAAAGTGTAAAAATAACTTTTTTTAATAAATCTCTTACACTTCGAATTGTTGAGTCCTTCATTTTGTTCTAGGTTTACAGCATTCTTCGCCATGTTGCTGAGGTGTTAGAGTACACCAAGGATGAACAACTGGAAAGCCTGTTCCAGAGGACTGCTTGGGTCTTTGATGACAAGTACAAGAGACCCGGATATGGTGCCTATGATGCATTTAAGCATGCGGTCTCGTAAGAACATCTTTTTGATTCTGCTTCTACCTTGATATCACAGCTGCTGTGTCTGGCATGCAAAATGAGAGCTTGACATGTAATAGTAGAAATTTACATTAAAATATTTCAGTATAAAAGGCCCATTGTATGAGCCAGTCCTGTATAGCCAAACCTATATAATTTTTTTTTTTATTGATTTGAGAGAAAAACATCGATTTGTTTCACTTACTTAAGCATTCATTAGTTGCTTTTTGTATGTGCCCTGACTGAGGATTGAACCTACAACCTTGGCATATTGGGATGACATTCTGACCACCTGAGCTACCCTGCCAGGACTTAAAATTTCTTATATCAATTATATAGTTTATAAGCATATAAACTATGTTTATATGCTTTCATCTCATGCTATTCCCTTACCCATTTCCTTCTCTTGGTTTTTTTATTGTCCTAGGTAACTTCAGGGCCAATGTAAATGTCTCATCTAAAACTATAACCTCTTGTTTTCTTTTCTTCACAACTCCTTCAGCCTGTGCCATTTTAGCCAGTCTTCCATATGGTTTCACTCTATACCTACTTTCACCAGGATTTGTTCTGCCTCTAGAACTCTAGTTCACACGTTCTACATTTTTGCACAGCCCCTGTCCTTCCAGCTCCCACATAGTTAGTCCTACTCTGTTTCTTCTTAATTCTGGTCAGGCTCTGATTCCAAACCTTTTTTTCTCTGTCTTTTCACTCCTTGCCTTCTCTTACTTATGCAGCATAGCTACACCATGGTTCATCATTTCAAAAACTTTCTTGCAAATATCATGAGCTTTTGCCGTTTTTCCTTCTTGTTACATCTAGTCTTGAATCGATGTTCCTGCCTTCTCTGCACTTATAGACTGCTAGATGCTGGTAGAGGTTGGTGCCCCTGCATGTTCATGGTATCAACCTCAGCGGGGCCTACACTGCTGCCCCACATTCTCTGTGCTCCTGGGTAGCTCTTCCTCTCATTCTTCGAGTTGGTATTTTAGAGCTTCCTCAGATACCCACTCCATCCTTCTTCCCTCACTCTCACCTGGTGCACTCACTACCTATTTTATAAAGAAAATAGAAGCCATCGCATAGGTTCTCCTCTGTTTCCTTACACTATCTCAGCAAACTTATCTTCATCCCACCTGCATTACTCCTTCCTGAGCTTTTGTCACACTGGAATTCCTATCCTTCCTGCTCAAACTAATCTTACCACTTGTGCCCAGCTACTGCTCAGAGGCCTTTTGCCATCTGTTATTCCATCTCTTGAGTCCTCAGTCTTTCCCTTAATTGTTTTTGCTCCAGCAGCATAAAAATATGTTCTGCTTTCTCCCGTTTACACTTAGAAACCAAATTCTGTCTACTTTATCCTGAGCAAGCACTGTGTCCTCTCCTTTTAACAGCCATACTCCAGTTCTGTCAAAATCTGCACCTCCCACTCTTCCCTAAATGTTAGTGCTTCACAAGCAGCCTCTCTGGCTGAGGTTATTTTCCCAACCTTTGTGCTGCCAAGAAGCAATGGTTCTCAGCCCTCAGGATGGCTGAGTGGGGCTGACACTGTTAGAGCCTGTGGCAAGCTGTCCACTTATTGGAAGTACCTTTCTCTTCTGATTCCTAGGGGTGTGGTTTTAGTTTTAGAATTTTTCCATGTTTTTGTTCTTTTCCAGTTAGATTGTAAGCTTTTTGAAGCAAAGAATGCTAATTACACAGAAGTGCTTAAGTATAGTGGGCTGCCAGGGAGACATTTTAAATTGCTTGCTTTAGCCTGATCTCTACAATTTTTCCCTTAATGATGATCAATTGGATGTTTTCTACTTGTCATATACTGCTAAATGCTGCATTGTTCATTTAATACCACAATCCAGTGAGATGAATTTTTTGTCCTCATTTTACACATTTGGAAACTGAGGTATGGAAAGGCCAAAGAAACATAGTTATCTAACAACAAAGTTAAGATTTGAACTCTAATTCTAACACTAAAGTCTATGCTTTTATACATTATTCTGTGGTATTGTTATTGCAAATATCAGTAAAGTAACCGTGACCTTTTGTTGTTGTTTTGTTTTTTTAATCAGAGACCCATCTATTTTGGATAGTTTAGATTTGAATGAAGATGAACGGGAAGTACTCATTAACAATATTAATAGGCGTTTGACCCCACAGGCTGTCAAAATTCGAGCAGGTAAATGATTTTTTAAATGATGTTAAAAGGTTGTGCATGTGTCAAAAAAGTTGTCAATGAGCCTTCTGAAGAATATGCTACTATATCAACATCTGTACATTTTTCTAAATGTGTTTTTCATATGAAAATTTAAGAACTTAAATATTTGCTGAATCATCTAGATAGATAGAGAGGCGTACAAGTTAACTTTAAATTACCCCCCCCCCCCGTTTTTTTTAAGGGTGTGGTTATTTTATTTTAGTGTATACTTTAAAATAATGTAACAGTACAAATATCCTCCCATGTCTCTGGATTAACCACTGTGAATAGTTTGAAATGTATTCTTTCAGACGTTTTTCCTGTACTCGTAGGCTATATAGGAATATATGCTGTTTACATTCAGATAGGACTTTTTAAAATTATTCCAAAGATGAGGTCATACCATGCAAAGTTTTCTCCAACTAATTTTTCTCACTTGGTGTTTCATGGTTGACCTTCCATGAAAGGTCATAGGAATCTTTTTCTTTCTTTTCCATGGCTAGGTAATAGTCTATAGAGTGGTTGACTTAACCAATCCCTTCTTAAAGAACATTTAGGTTGTGCCAATTTTTTTATTAGACAAAACACTATAAATTTAACATTCTTATACATACATACTTACCTATTTGTATAAGCATTCTGTAAGGCAGATTCCTAAATTTCTAAATTGTTCTCAACAGTTTGCAATTATTTCATTCAGTATTAAAACACTTCTCTCTATTTTACAAATAAGAAACTGAGGTACAGAGAAGTTGGAATTGTGGTTTTTAATCCAGGCATAGCCAGAATTCAAAGTGTTTTTTAAATGTGCCTGTCTTATAGTTTCATCATTCAAGGTCTTGATGTGGATGATAGAAAATAATTTCAGATAGTTTTAATTATGAAAGTTAGTAGCTGGGATTGGTTTCTAATTGAAAGGATGATGAAAGCTTTCACAAATGTTTGAATACTTATGTATCTGATTTATTTTATGCCTCTAAATATTTTTTGCATTTATTTGATATGTTTTTGAATTTTGTAATTTTAGATATCGAAGTGGCTTGTTATGGTTATGAAGGCATTGATGCCGTAAAAGAAGCCCTGCGAGCAGGTTTGAATTGTTCTACGGAAACCATGCCCATCAAGGTGAGCAGTCAGTTTTCTCCCTCCCTGCTGAAATATCCACCTAAGCCAAATCAGATTTTTTTATGATCATGTTTCTTATCAAGTGTTATGAAAAGTGATTCTTGGTGATATTTCCAGGGGATATTTAAGATTGTGTATAGGCTTTTTGTTGTAGCTACTGTTACTGGATAGAGATTCCTATTGGTATTTAGTGCAGAGGGCTCCTTTACAATAAAACGTTATGCCCTGGCTGAAGTGGCTCAGTTGGTTGAGCATCATCTCATGCACCAAGAGGTCATTGGTTCAATTCCCTGTCAGGGAACATGCCTAGGTTTGCAGGTTCGATCCCCAGTAGTGAGTGTGCAGGAGGCATAAGCCAATTGATGATTCTCTCCCCCTTTTTCTCTCTAATATCAATAAAAACTTTTTTTTAAGTTGTACCCATAGTGCTCATAGAATCTTGAAAAGGGCAACATACTCTCATTCACACGCAATTTTTAGGTTTGCTATGAATCTTTTGTTAGCAATAAAATTAACTGAATGGTTGTTATTTAGAATTTTTTTGGAGAATTTCTTCCGTTTAGTTTGGAACCAAGTTGGAATTTTTGTTTGTTTTAGAGACAAATTATCCATTATGCTGACAATGGCTCTAGTTAGTTTAACCTCCAAAGACACCCAGAAATTGACATTTGTTGTATTCAGTATTGCAAATTTGATTAAATCACTGTATCAATTAGCTTTTGCTACCTTAACAGGCTACCCCAAATTGCTAGATATAAAATTGGTGGCTATGTTTTGAGAATTAAGATTTGTTAAGGCAGCAGATTGGTAAAACAGTTCTCGAACATCCTGATAGTTGTGTGTTCTATAGGCATACTCACAGGTGAATTTTTATCTCCTTCCTTAGATTAATCTCATAGCTCCTCCGCGGTATGTAATGACTACAACCACCCTGGAGAGGACAGAAGGCCTCTCTGTTCTCAATCAGGCTATGGCTGTTATAAAAGAAAAGATTGAGGAGAAAAGGGGTGTCTTCAATGTTCAAATGGAGGTAAGATTAAGAGGGGTTTTGCCTTGTTTAAAGGTTTTAATAAATTTAAAAACATGTAAATGATTTGCATTCTAAATCTAAAAAAAAAAAATAAGTACATTTAGGATTACAACTCTGCTAAGCATAAAATAATTATTGGCTTGGAGGATTCCTAAAAGAGCTTTTTATAAGTAAATTAGAGGCTCAGTGCACGAAATTCGTGCATGGGCGGAGGGGGTCCCTCAGCCCTGCCTGCATCCTCTCCAATATGGGACCCCTCGGAGAGGTTTCTCTTACAATCCAGGACCACTAGCTCCTAGCTGCTCGCCTGCCTGATCGCCCCTAACCACTCTGCCTGTCTGCCTACCTGATTGTCCTTAACCACCTCTGCCTGCCATCCTGGTCTCCTCTGCCTCTGGCCATCGTGGCTTTGTCTGGAAGATATCCGGTCTAATTAGCATGTTACCCTTTTATTAGTATAGATAAGAAGTATCATGGGATTTTTATTGAGAACTATGGTCACTGGTGGTGTTAGGTGTCCTGTCGTCGCCCGCCCAGCCAAGGGAAAAAAAATAGATGATGAAAATTAGTGGTTGATTATTGTCAGAATTTAATGTAAAATACTTAAATTTGATCTCAGAATTAGAAATAAGTGTAATTGCCTTTATTTCCCTCATCTCAACAAGAATAAAACCTAAATTTCATACATATATATAAAAAAGTGCATTTTTATAGGATGTCTTTTGGGTTTGAAAAATAGAGCCACTGATATTATTTTCATATATTTTCAGTTTTAGCTTGTAAAAATAACAGAAAATAGTACTTTGTTTTAATACACATATTTCTTTTTTCTGTACTGTTTTATTCTCATAAATTTCTTCCATTATTGAGCTAATGGAATTTATTAGTGATATGTCAGCACTCAGAAATTAATAGATACAGCATCAGAGTTGTTATGTCTTCAAGAGTTAAAATACTAGGCATTGATAGTATTGAAATTCAATTTTGTGTACTATTTGACTACATTTTGAAATTATGCCTCTGCTTCCACAGCCCAAAGTGGTCACAGATACAGATGAAACTGAACTTGCAAGGCAGCTGGAGCGGCTTGAGAGAGAAAATGCAGAAGTGGATGGAGATGATGATGCAGAAGAAATGGAAGCCAAAGCTGAAGATTAACTTTTGGGAAACAGTCCAGTTTAAGGAACACAAAACAGCCCTTCCTGGCTATAAACCCTAGACTTAAAAGTTTTCCAGAATTGAAAACTTAACAGCTGAATATTTTTTATTTCCAAGTATTTAAATGTTGTAACAGACCAAAACGTGAAATGTCCTAAAATGTCGGCTATTTTCACAGTAGCTCCAACACATTGAGCATTTTTTATGGGAGTGGCCCAGTTTCACTAAAGACAAATCTCTAAGCTAAGAACAGTCAAAATTGGGCTTTCCATTTCTGATGTCTCTAGATTGACACCTGTTTGTAGTTCAGTGCCTCTGTGTAATTTATCAGGGGTACCCAAAGCAAATGGTCCCAACCTTTCTACATAAATGTATCAAGCAAACATTAAATAAATTTCTGGGATATTTAACTATAGGTTTCTTCCTTCTTGTCACCAGTTAAAAGCATTATGATTACTAAGACCCTAATTCTATTCATTTTAGTCTAGATGTATAAATATAAGGGCAGGTGTTCAAAGGATCTATACAACATCCTTTCAAAAGGATGGCTTAGAGAAAATAATTTTTACCACAGTGAAAGTAATTCTTAAGGGGGAAAGCCTAAAAATGCAATTAAAGGATTACATTGGTTGTGTGCCTTTTATGTCTATGAGACTGATGAAATATATGTGGGAGAATTTCACACTGGTCCTGTTTGGTGTACTAAGCTGCTTGCCTGAGTTTGTAATTCAAAGTGGTATGGTTGGTTTTATTTTGTTTTTAAGATGCTGCTGCTTTAATTTATTTTGATTCTCATCACCCAACTTGAGATTTTTCCCCCCATTAAAATATTCACTAGGTGCCATCTAGAAAGCTTCAGTTTTCTTTATAACAGAATAGGGATCTGTTTGAACACAATTACCATAATTTTTCAACATTTCCATCATTTTTATCTTTTAAGAACTAATTATTAAGGCATATAAATTTAAAGGTAAATAAATTCAGACAAAACACGTGATTTGATGTTACAGCTACAATAACCAAGGTGTAGAAAGTCTTGAGTTACTTTAGTCTTTGTAGATTTAATCTTAGTATGCTTGAGGTACTAGATATATTAATTTTATTAAATTATTCTGACAAATAGCTGTTTAAATACTTAAAAAGTGAAACCATATCCTCCTCCATCAATCCAGGACTAGATTCAGTATTTTTTAAAAGGGACTGGAAAAATAGTATTGCTGAGACAGTTTGTGCCATATGTGAAGATTGTCCCAATCCAGAAGCCTGACTTCATGTAGCCATCTCTACAAAGGAACCATGGTTGCTAGCTAGCATACCATACTGGGAATATTTAGAGGAAAATTAGGATATATTCAAAATTGGCTCAATTTTCAGCGTGGTCTTTTTGAGGAGTCGAAACAAGTCTGTAAAGCTTACAGCAGATGTCATCAAATATAACAGATGCTCCTTAAATGTTTGCTATCACAGGAATTGAATTTTTGTTTAATATTTTTATATTTCAAATGCTATAACAAGAAATGCTGGTAATGTTCATGGTGAGTGAATTTATCCATTAAATTATTGGGCCTTTTCAGTTCCACAACAGTTGCAAATTTATGACGCTTGCCAGAGAAAAGATTGATACCGTGTGATAGAACTATAAACTTAAAGCACACATATTCCTTGCTGACCTAAAAGTATCACTTTTAAAGGACAAGAGAACACACCCAGCTCCAGATAGCTGAAGGAACAGATTGACAAAAGTGACCAGTTTATCCAAATCTTGGACCTCCCCCAAAAAAACCTCATTAAAAGTGGACAACTTCATCTACTCATTCTGCCTTGGACTGATGTCAAGTGGTTATCAACTCAAAACTGAACCTTAGCAATAGCTTGGTTCTTAATGCATAATTAATTGAGAACGGCTTACAAAAAGTGAACCTTTAAACAATTTATCTTTTATACCAAAACAAGACAAACCAATACTTTGGATAATTCTAAGTGGGAACCTACAGACATGCTAAGCAAGCACTATATTATGCTTATTAATACAATTATTACTCAGCTGCCAGACAAACATTCTCGATTTAACTACATCAAAAACAGTTGAATTCAAATGGTTCGGATTTTAAAAATTAAAATACTAGTACCTTGATAAGAGTTGTTCCCTGGTTTGCCTCAAGGTCATCTACTTTAAATGGGTGAGGACTCTGTCCTCCACAGTCTGGTACAGTTGTGCCAGTTCAGAGAAGAAGCCATCAAACCAAATACAGTCAAATTCAGATGAACATCTGTTGATATCCCAAAAGTAATAAACTAATTCCAAGGACATTAGACCTGGTAAAATGCCAGGTGCTCTAAAAAGGCATCTCTTTACAATGTAAGGAATTAAGTAAAACCTCATTTGCTTGGAATTTTGATCACTCAGGTCAAGTATTCTAGTTGAAATTGAGAGAACAGTTCAAACTAAGGACAAATTTGAATTTCAGAGGTATCTAGTACCCTTAAATGCCAGTTACGTATCTTACCTATTCATTTAAGGGAGTCTTGTACTAAGCAAGAATGCTGGCAGTATCTTGTGCCAGTTACTGTATGAACTTGCAAGCAATAAAAATGTTTTTCTTAAATAATTGTATGATACAGACTTTTCACTACTGCAGGTTAACCTTCCAACTGGTGAAGCTTCTTGGTACCTATTTGTCTCAATGTTCACCTAGAAAACCAAATTTCATGCCCTGATTTAACCCCTTTCCTATTCATAGCTTTCTCTTTCCTTTAGAGAGCTCTGCTCTGCTTTCCAAATGGTATTTTTCACAGTAAAACTATAATTTTACCTTTTTTTTTAGTATGTGTGACTAATCCCTTCAACTGAGTCCGTGATTTTTCTGTGATATGTAATGCTTAATGCAAGCTTATTTTTCAAAGGAAAACAATATTCTTTGAATGTTCAAGCTCAATTCACCCACTTTGAGATGAAGCATGTCTTAGTCACAGAGATCACGAGGTGTCTTCATAATCGCCTCGCTCACTTCGTATAGTCTCAAGCATGAAAAACCTTTGAAAACTGAAACTTTGGAAGGAAATTCTAATAGCCAGAAGCAAGTGTCAGTTTTTATTAATCCTAAAGAAGGAGTTAATGGCTGTTGGCAGCATTTCGGAGACAGTGCTGTGAGACTAGCGTTTTATTTAGTAGTATAATGTGGCCAGTTAGTGTTACAAGGCAAACCTACTTTGGTGACTGAGGAATGGCCTGCTGTGATGATTGGCGAAAGTCAACGTGCTGACGCCTAATGGCTGTTCTGGCATTTCCGGTTGTTAACGTGAAGGTGGGGAAGGAACAGCACCATTGCCCATTGTGACCTAGGAAACTCCAGTAGACTAAGTACAAAAGAAAGTTGCATTAACACTCATTTTCTGGGAAACCCTGTCGGTGTCACCGGCTAGGTGGGAGGAATCCTGGTCCTGGTCTCTCAGGCAATCCTGGTCCGTCACGTGAGCTTTTTGATGGCTTCGATCCACTCGGCTCGCTCAGCTTTGCTGCTGGCCTGGATGTAATAGTGTGTGTCGTCCTTAGTAATCACTTTGAAGAGATTTCCCTGGACATTCCCTTTGACACCTAGGCAGAAAAAAAATCAGTGAGGAAATACCCAGTCTTTCAGCTGGAAGCAGCTGAAAATCAACTAAGATACAAACACAAATAATGAAGTATTTATTAAGTTCAAATTACATGGTTAGAGACTCCCACCAGATGCGTGGTGCTTTCTTTTCCTCCCTCCCATCCCCTCATTTGGCCTGTGCCACAAAGTCTGCCAGTGGTATGGACATTTGTTTTAAATATTTTGATTTCAGAGAGAGAGAGAAATATCAATTAAAAGAATAATTGGTTGGCTGCTTCCTGCATGCACCCCACTGGGGACTGAGCCCAAAACTGGGGCACAGGTCGATGCTCAATCACTGAGCCACTCTGGCCAAGCTGTTTGGACATTCTCGGAAGCCTTCATGGTCTGCCACCTATGCTAACCCTAGATCTACAATGTCATTCACATAAAAGAATCTAGTATCCTACATAATAAAGAGGTAAAATGCAAATTGACCCTCACACCCTTGTGTCACAAGATGGTTGCCCCCATGTTGTCACAAGATGGCCACCCCATTGTCACAACATAGCCAGCAGGGGAGGGCAATTGGGGATGACTAGGCCTGTAGGGGAGGGCATCTGGGAGTGATCAGGCTGCCAGGGGAGCAGTTAGGGGCAATCAGGCAGCCAGGCAGGCCAGTGGTTAGAAGTCAGCAGTCCCAGATTGTGAGGGGGAGGTCTGACTGCCAGTTTAGGCCCGATGTGGGATCAGGTCTAAACCGGCAGTTGGACATCCCCCAAAGGGTCCCAGATTAGAGAGGGTGCAGGCTGGGCTGAGGGACATCCCCCCCACCAGTGCACAAATTCTGTGCACCAGGCCTCTAGTGTTTATACAAAGAGAAGATACAGATTTAGGATTTAACTTTAAACTGTTTTAACTTCTTTGAACCTCAATTTCCACATCCATACAATGGGAATGATACTATCTTCCTAGCTAGTTAGTATGACAATAGATATTAAAGTATGTCCCTAACCCTTAAACACTGTGTAAGCTAATATCATTCTTAGGTGGAAGCTTAGGTGGACCAGTAAACACAGAAACTGAAGGGAAAGTATTACAAAACAAGGATTATTATAGCTGTATTGTTGAAACACTAAGAACACATGCCCTTTTCTCTAACTCTGAAACTGGCTTCAAAACTCACACATTCATGGTCTCACTGAGAAAGCCCTACTCAGCTCCCACAGCTCAGTCCTTGGACAGCAGAGCATCATGGAGAGTGCAGGAGGGAGGCCCTTGAGCTCTCAGGCAGGGGCCAAAGTTAGACCTTACCCGTGGGAACGCCATTGTCCTCCAGAGCAGACACGAGTGAACCACGAAGGGAAAACCCACCCACTGGCCGGTTCTCTTCCTGCAGAGAGAAGGAGACCTGTTAGGAATCGCGTGAACGGACAAAAGGGAAGAGCTGCACTCTCACCTATAACACCCTCAGTGGTACCAGCCAAAGAAGTAGGCGAGAGTCATGTGTGAGGAGGATGAGGCAGAACTTGGCCTTCTTGCAGCCAACCTACAAGCACCAGTGAGGAGTTTGGACTCTTCATTCACACCAGCCACAGCAGGGCCACAGCCCTCCCTGACCCTCCGCTCCCGCTGTGGTCTGTCAGGCCCCCAGGCCCCCTGCACGCTCCTTCACATCCTGACAAGCTCCGTGAGGGAGGACCTGCCCAGACGTCACTCTTTCAAAAAAGTGAGTGAAATTCCTACATCTCCCAAAGTCAAGGTTGAACAGGCCATCTGAAAAGCCCTTTTTCTTCTCTTTTGACTGAAATTAGATACACTCGGCATGCCATAATACTCTTATCTGAAACTCAGAACAGCAATTCTTCGGATCAATTAGAAAAAAAATAAAATTAGTAAATTATGGCTTAAATACCAAGTAGTAAAAGAAAGTTTGCAAAACGTTGGTGCAGACAAGAGGTTGAGGGAACAGAATCCCTGGGATCTGGGGAGAGAACGGGGTGAAGAGCTTGGAAGCACCAGGTCGGCCTCTGCCAGCCCCTCCCCCTCCGCAGCCACATGGCAGGCTTTGGAGAGACGGAAAGATGCGTTTCCTCACAAAATAATGAAGATCCACGGGGCAGGCAAGGACGTGATGAAATCGGAGAGCAATCCTCCCCTTTAAGAGTGGCGGGAGGTGGAAGGAGAGGCACAGTGGGCAGAGGTTATGGCAGGGATGCTGGGGTAAGGGAGGGTGTGGAGCCAGCTGCCTGCGATGCCTGGGAGAGAAGGATCCGGAAGCCTCCCGCGGGGACCAATGAGCACACGGCACTCACCTTGGCAGGGTCGTAGTAATGCAGGAAAGCCGGCTCCTTCCTCAGAACGAAGCGCCGCACCTTCCAGTTTTTCCTCTTGTGGCCCTGCAGGAAAGGGGGGGTCAGGCCCTAACCAGTATGGCTCAGTGATAGAGGATTGGCCTGCGGACTGAAAGGTCCCAGGTTCGATTCCATTCAAGGGCATGTACCTTGGTTGCGGGCACATCCCCAGTAGGGTGTGTGCAGGAGGCAGCTGATGGATGTTTCTCTCATCAATGTTTCTAACTCTCTATTCTTCTCCCTTCCTCTCTGTAAAAAAGCAATAAAAGAAAAAAGAAAAGAAGAGAAAAGAAGAGAAAAGAAAAGAAAAGAAAAGAAAAGAAAAGAAAAGAAAAGAAGAGAAAAAAGAAATGAAACGAAAAGGGTCAGGCTCCTGGGGACAGCTCTTCCCTCCTCCCTCCCACTTCCTTGTATCGGATGCCAAACCTCCAAGCCAGCTGGCTCTGTGGGACCGCTTTCTAAGAAGAGCCTGCCGGAGCCCCAAGGATGGCAGTGATGTGTCATGGACTTCCCTGCTCAGTGGCACTCAGCAAAAACACTGTCGCCTTTAGCTGAGTTCACAGAGCCGAAGAGGGTCAGCACTGAAGGAAGGGGGACATTCCCCGGACACCACGCAGGACACCAGGAGGGCAGGGAGGCGGCAGGGGCCGACTGGACTGAGGGCTCACAGGCGAAGTTGAACCCAAGGGCATTAAGTCAGGTGTCAACTTGTTCCCCAAACAAACCTACAGCTGCACGTACACCTGTGCACACATGGACAGTAAAAACCACTTTACCATTCTGCATCAGAAAAGTCAGAAATGATCAATTAGGACTCAGGCGTCCTCAAACTTTTTAAAGTGGGGGCCAGATCACGGTCCCTCAGAGAGCTGGAGGGCCGGACTATATGAACTACTAATTCCTACTCGGCTGCGCTCACTGCCCAAAAAACCTGGCGGGCCGGATCAGACTCCTCTGCGGGCCGCATGTGGCCCGCGGGCCGTAGTTTGAAGACGCCTGTTAGGTGCTAAAATCTAAATGTGTAAGATGCAGACGAGTGTAGGACTCTCAGCCTCACGCCCTCGACCAGCGGTCGGCAAACTCATTAGTCAACAGTGCGGTTTGCCAACTGCTGCCCTAGACCACTAAGCTTCCTGCACCCTCCAGTCTGGAACATTGAGTCCCCCCCCACCACGCCTCCTTGTGGTCTCCGGGGCGGTTTCAATAATGTAAATAACCCGAGAGCAGATTGGGATCCTCCTGTGCAAGAAACAGGTGACAGCAACAGGCGCTCTGAGTAACACGGGAATGGTGCTGAGCAGCACACGTGTCCGTGGTGCCGACAGGCACGTGCACACGTGTGTGAGGTGCACACCAGCACAGGGGACGTGCAGAGGTCCACGAACACTTCCTGCGCCGTCACGCAGTCACTTTGTTCCCGAACAGCCTGTCGGGCTCAGACAGACATGCCGCGGGTGTGACTGACATGGGTGTCTCCTGTTTGGCAGGGCTGCTCTCCCAAACACGGCTAGGTGAGGTGGCCCTGGTCAGCTTTCAAACACTGAGACGACCCTGGAAAGTTTCATCTTCAACCTACGGAGGTGAGCTGTTTGGAAAGTGAATCGAGGGGGCATGCAGAGTCCTACGAAAGGAGGCAGAGACTCCAGAAAGCCTCAGAGAGCAGAAGGCGGCAAATGCAATCCAGGAGGCAATGCCCTCCAGACACATTTTAACATGGGCATTTTTAATGTTGTCATCATTACCTGTGTACCTTTTCCCCGAACAGCCCCGTGTCTGGGACTCATGGTTGTGTGTGTGTGTGTGTGTGTGTGTGTGTGTGTTTGGGGGGGGGGAGGGGGGAGGGAGGATGGTGTTGCGGATGAAGGAGAACTGAGGGTGGACACATGCATCCCCTTGACCTGCTCCCTGCGGCAGCCGCTGGACCCCCGCTTTAGCTCATCCTGCTGACAATCAGTGCCTCGGGCAGCCTCAGCCCTTCCCACCCTTTGGGAGATCCCTGCCTCCCCCGAGGTTGAGAACTGTCCGTCCCTGCTCCGACGCAGCCATACCTGCTTGGCCAGATAGCCCTGCTTTATCACCGTGCCGCTCAGCTCCATGGTGCTCAGGTTAATGTCCTCCCGGAGACTGATCTTCTGCTTGTGGCTCTCAGCCTCGTGGGAAGAAAACAAGGATTCCGTCACGAAAAGTCCCAGTTACAGGCTGCGGGGGCTACGGTGGGAAAAAGGAAAATCCTTCACAGAGAAACCCCTTCCACCTGGGGTGACGCTGTCCCCCAAACCCGGGGCCTCCCCCATGACCGTGGGCCCCTTGCCCCCACTCTGTGGCCGCCCCCTTCCCCTCTCCGTGGCTTACAAAGGTGTACAGGGCCGTGGAGTCGTCCAGGAACTGCTCGGCCAGGTCCCCAGAGCGAACGGCCCCCGTGCTCCGGGCGCCGACCGGCTTCAGGAAGTTCTCCTCCAGGAGCACGGAGGCCAGGGTCACGGCCTCCAGACGGTTGGCTGCAAAGCTGTTGGAGATGAGCCAGTCCACCAGGGAGGAGCCTGCATCGGAGCAAGGGCAGCACCAGTCAGACCGCAGCCCACCGACCAGCCTCCATGGGTGGGGGGCCTGGCTGTGTGCTCACTGACTCTGACGTCCTGGGCAGCCTGGGGGCTCTGCACAAGAGCAGACCAATGGCCACACCCCTGCTGCATGGAGCTGTGGCCGCTCCCACCGTGGCTGTCTCAGCTGCAGCCCAGCTCACCACGCCCCGGTTCCCACGTCCCTCCGAGAGGGACGGCTCACCAATGAAGGTCTTTTTGTAGGTGCTCCCCTGCTCCACGTTGGGGCTTGGCCGGATTCCTGTCGCGCTGTCGTGCATCTTGTCCACGATGCAACTGCACGGGAGGAAGGCAAGGTCAGGGCCCCTCGTCACAGATATGAGACAGGGCCTCGGGGGATTAAGCAAGTGGCAAACGGTGAGATATGCGCCACAAAGGAAGAGGGGGCAGAATGTGAGAGGTAGGTAGGATTTTAGATCTTTTTTTTCATGCTCACCTAAATGTTCTAATATTTCTGTCCTAGTTAGTCATTGCTTTTGTAGTAAAACTAAAGAGCTGTGACTTCTGCTGCTTGGGGGTTAGGAGTTTCTCCTGTAAACAGGCTGTTGTAAGTTTCCAGCATGGGATCTCCTTTCACACACCCTTACTTTACACTTTCCTCCTGTTGTGTGGGATGCTTCCTGCCACCAATGGAAGGTCTTTTCTCATTTGCTAATTACGTACTTGGGCTGGAAAGCCCCTGAGACAGGACCTTGTTTATCCCCATCTGCATCTCCTGAGGATCTAGTGCTATGAACTGCGTGCAGTAGGCGCTGAAGAACTACGTCATGAATTAATTAATTAATTAATTAATGAGGAACACTACAGGGCAAGAAGGCAACTGCCTCCAGAACACATCGTTCTTGCCACCAGGGGGCGAACATGCCCATGATTGGTGAGTGGAGGTTCCTGAGCACCAGGCCAAACTGGAGAGAGGCTCTCAGATGCTGAGGTGGGAGGAAGCAGCCAAGGTCCCAAAGGATGAGAGGAGCAGGGCCATTCTCAGGCAGAGAAAAGAGTACAAGCAGGGCAGTGGCAGCACAAGGCCCTGAAGCACGTTGGCGGAAGCAGTCAGGCCCAATTAGCAACAGCACAGACACAGACGGCCAGGTGCAGCGGAGGCAGGGAGTGCGGACAGGAGCCGGGCACTCACTGCAGGCTGAGGTGAGGGGGCAGCTTGAAGGAGTTTCTCTGTATGTGGAGCTGCTGGACCTTCCCCGGCTGCCCAGCGTGAATCGCCCCCGTGATCTCGAAGGCCCAGGCGTCCCTGTCCTCCCGAGAGCAGGCCTCCAGGAAATACTCTGTGGATGTGCGAGTCTTCAGCTTGATGAGGAGCTGCGGGAAGAGACAGCCAGCCAGCCAGACCGGCACTCAGACATGAGGTACCTTCTTTATGGATGTAGCAATCTACTAGGAACTGAGCTTCCTTCCTCCTGTTGGTCTTCCTAACAGAGGTTCCATCAGTCCATTCGCTCACTCAAAGCCTTCAGGTTTTGAGTCCTCTAGGTTTTGAGTGAGCAAATGGACTGATGAAACCCCATTCCCTCCATGTGCCCCTGGCCATTCTCCCCCTGCTCCTTCAGGGAGCGCTTTTCCTGGGCCACACTGGCTACCCTCATCTCCCAGTCTACTCCTCCCTCTCCCCACACTTCTACTGAAGCCTGGACCGTCCACCGGCCTGGAGCGTCTGCCCCTCTCCTCTTCTGGATCCGTGTCCCCGTCTCCATTCCTCTCAAAGTCACACCGGACCCTGCCGTCCCCCTTCTCTGCGGACACAGGGTCTCTATGGCTGAGAATGTTGGAACCACCGTTTGAAACTGAACGTTTTCGATGAACCACTTGCTTGCCTACTAAGATTATTAAATGGAGAAGAAGCAATCTTACCGTTTCCTTCCTCAACTCCTCCCAGCCTCGCTAATTTCCTGGCACCCACTGGGCCTTCGAGAAATGGTTGAGTCGGATACTTTTTTGATGGCAGGGTGGGTGCTGCCCCGGCTTTTGGAACATACACCCCTTGGGGATGAAAGCCATCCTATTGCTTTGATTACTCACATTTTTTTATTTTTTTAAAATATATATTTTATTGATTTTGTACAGAGAGGAAGGGAGAGAGACAGAGAGTTAGAAACATCGATGAAAGTCATCAATCAACTGCCTCTTGCCCACCCCCTACCAGGGATATGCCCACAACCAAGGCACATGCCCTTGACCGGAATCAAACCCGGGACCCTTCAGTCCCCAAGCCGACGCTCTATCCATTGAGCCAAACCGGTTTCGGCTACTCACATTTTTTTTAATGCCACCTAGCCTACAGGATCCCCGTAGCCTTCGTGGGATATACTGGTAGGTATCATTTTTTTACCCCATTTTATAGAGGTGCTGAGGCTCAGAGAGGTTTGTTACTTGCTCAAGGCCACATATCCGGTAGGTGGTGCAGCCAGGGTTGGAACTGGGATTTTCCATGATAGCTCAGCTCTTCCCATCACACACACACACACACACACACACACACACACACACCCGTCACCAGAGGCCCGCGGGGGAGGAGTTGGGGCAGGGAGGAGCTGGGAAGCCAGCATCCACTTACCGGTCGGTTTTCATACTCCAGGCAGGGGCAGGTGATGGTGCAGCCGTCCAGGAGGATCTGGCCCTTGGGAGGGGTCACCTTCCGGCCCCCCTCGAGCTTGTAGTACAGCAGCGTGTTCTGCCGGAGGACGAACCATCGCGCCTTCCAGTTGTGGACGATGTGACCCTGAGGACGGACAGCAGAGCCCTGCAGCGAGGCGTCTGGGGGACAGCGCTGTGTCTCCGAGAGGAGTCCCCGGGGCAGGGAGCCGCTGTGCCACAGAACTGACCCTCCGACAAGGGCACAGCATTCTTTTCTTTTCTTTTTTCTTATTATTTTTTATTTTGAAATAATTTCAATTCAGAAAAAAAGATGAACTTTTTTTTTTAAAGGAACCATTTAAGAGTACACTTTTAGCAAGATGCCCCACTTCTGAATAATATTTTATTGTGTATCTCCTACAAAAAAATAAGGATGTTCTCAACACAATCACGGTGTAACCATTCAACATCAGGAAATGTTCATGAATGTGTTGTGTTTAGCTGTTCCACAAACCCAGGACAAGTCTCACCAGTTGCCCCGATAATGCCATGAATGGCGAAAGGGTCCGGTTCAGAATCCTATGTTTTATCTTCATTTTCATGAAGAAAGTGTCCTTTGTCTGGATATCTTAGTCATCTCCTCTGTATGCAATAAAGACATGTGGCATTGGCCTTCTCATTCCTACGTGGCCTTCTTTTCTGGATATAAACCTTGGGAGACCCTGCTAAGTATTATCAGGAGGCAGACATTGCTAACATTCAGTACTTCCTTCTAGTCTTTTTTTTCCTTTTAGTTTTTACTTTCTAGCTGTTGTTTTTTTAGATCAGGAATATGCTTTTATTTTCTAGGTTTTTTTGTTTTGTTGAATTTTGCTGAGTGTCGTCTCACACCATTACATTTCTCTAAAATATAAAATATATATATATATATTCCCTCCCCCCCCCCCAAAGAGAAGAAAGGGGAAGGAGAGAGAGAAATATCAATGAGAGGGACACATCCATCAGCTGTTTCCTGCACGGCGCCCTACTGGGGACTGAGCCCGCAACCAGGAGAAGACGCTCAACCGAGCCACACCAGACAGGCTAAATTTTTAAATGGCCATTAGGTAGGTGCATCATTTACTTGTTAATCTCCTGCATTTGTAACAGGTCATTCGTTCTTTATTTTGAAATAATTTTTTTGTTTTGTTTTTCACTATTATAAACAATTCTGCAATAAACATCCTTGCATATAAATTTTGCTCTGCATGTCTGATCCCGGCCCACCCCCCTCCCTTAGGATATATTCGTAGAAAGACTATTGCTAGTCAAAGGATGTGGGCAGTTTGTAAAACTGAAGCCACACGTGGTCCACCCGCTGAGGATGCCCACTCTCCCCTAAAAGGCAGGTAGTTGGGAGCTCTCCGAAGGACCAGAGAGTCCATGGCTGGCACAGTCCCGTGAAGCAGAGAGCCTGCCTCTAGAGCAGACCAGAGGATGGGGAGGTGTCAGCTGAGGAATCAGAACGGAATGGATTTAGAACACACTCACGAATCTACTTTCTTGGCATGCTTTCCGGAGCAGAGCCTCATACGGGCTAGATTCTAACCAAGAGACCATTTCCCCATTCGCCGGTTCCCTCCCGCCCTCACACCTGTGTGCTGGGACTCTGCCACGCTCAGCCTGGGCTGACAGCTATAAAAAGGTGTCACTGGCCTGCACCCCAACAGACTTTACTGTGGCAACGAAACCAGACTTCTAACCGAGTTCCTCTGACCGGAGCTCTTTACTTCGTCCACGTGTTCCCACGCTGCATGCGGATCAGCTGTTCCCACGAGAGCACTCAGGGAGTCAAGCTGAACTTGACACTTTTGCTCTCTCCGCCCTGTCCCGCACTTAGAGCCCACGAGTGAGATGACGGCTAACAGCTTTCCTCGACATGTCAGACATGTTTAAAGAAACAGAAAGCGTCCTGGCATAATCTATGCTTCCTCATGCTCCCCATGCAGCCTATACCCTAACACCTAATATAACATGACTTTTTAGTGCTGCCAAGATTTTGTACTATCAACCCAGCCCGTGTAGCTCAGTGGTTGAGCACTGACTTATGAACAAGGAGGTCACGGTTCAATTCCTGGTCAGGGCACATGCCTGAGTTGCGAGCTTGATCCCGAACTGCATGAGTGCAGAAAGCGGCCGATCAATGATTCTCTCTCATCATTGATGTTTCTTTCTGTCTCTCCCTCTCCCTTCTCTAAAATCAATAAAAATATATTTACTAGCAAAAAGAAAAGATTTGGCATCTGGGGGAGATGCCAAAGAGATCAACCGAAGGACTTGTATGCATGCATATAAGTACAACCAATGGACACAAAACTCTGGGGAGGGAGGGTATGTATGGGAGGGGACAATGTTAAAATATGTACACAGATAATAATTTAATAAATAAATTAATAAATTAATAAATTAATTTTTAAAAAGAAAAAAAAACACACACAAAACGTTTGGCTCCGACTCCCCAGCAGGTGGGGTTCTCGGCTGCCCTGCCCCTGGCCTGCCCCGACGACCCTGCAGGGCCCCTGCAGTGGGGTCGGCAGCAGATTGCTGGCACAGGGGTTACAGCCGGGGCAGCGAGAGGAGAGGGCGACCTCAGTTGACGATATGGGTGGCTGATGTGAGGGAGAGAAGCGGCAAGGATGGAATCGTCTTAAACGTAAAACACAGGTGTCAGGAGCTGAATTATGTGTCTCCCCCCAAAAAAGGATCATACATTGCAGCCCGAACCCCCACTATCTCAGAATGTGACTATTCAGAGGTAAGAGGTGATGAGGTTAAAACACAGTCTTGGGTGGGCCCTAATCTAACCTGTTTTGGGTCCTCCGAGCAAGAGGAAATTTGGACACACTGAGAGGCAGCAGGGAGATGTGTGCCCAGAGGAAAGACCGTGTGGACACACAGCCAGAAGGTGGCCATATGCAAGCCGAGGAGAGAGGCCAGAGGAAACCGATCCTGCTGACACCCTGATCGTGGACTCCAGCCTCTCTTGTCCAAGCCGCCCTGTCTGTGGCATTTTGTTACAGCAGCCTGAGCAGATTAAATCACCAGGGAAAGCCCTCACCGGTTTGATAAAGTGGATAGAGCATCAGCCTGTGGACAGCAGGGCCCAGGGTTCAACTCCAGTCAAAGGCACATGCCTGGGTTGTGGGTCTGACCCCTAGGGGGGGAAGGGGATGTAGGTGGCAGCCGATCAGATTCTCTCTCAGCATTGATGTTTCTTTCTTTCTTTTTCTTTCTTTCTTTCTTTCTTTCTTTCCCTCCCTCCCTCCCTCCCCCCCTCCCTCCCTCCCTCCCTCTCTCTCTCTCTCTCTCTTTCCTTCTTTCTTTCTTTCTTTCTTTTCTCCCCCCCCCCATTTTTTTTTTTTTTATTATGGTATCACATAATTAGCATTGATGCTTCTCTCTCTCTCTCCAGCTCACCTTTCCTCTCTGGGGATCCTGGGCTGCGTGGTGAAGGTTGGGAGGAGCTGGCCAGGTTAGGAGGGCAGGAGGGGAGAGCAGAAAACCGCTGCCGCGCCCCTGGAAAACTCCCCGCAGTTCTGCAGGGTGGGGCCCGGGGGCTGTGAGGAAGGGATGAGGGACCAGTGGGCTTCAGGTCCTGTGCCTCCGAGTTTGATCTTTACATTGCAGCCAGGGGGCAGTCTTTGAAGACTTCTAAGCGGAAGGACCGCAAGCCTGAGTCCTCCTGTTTAAAAGGTCACGGGGCCACGCTGTGAACGTGCGGGAACGAAGCGGCCACACGCGGGCAGCTCAGCCGGAGCTGCGGCAACAAACAATCCCCAGGACGGGCTGAGAGCCGCAGCATCGCCGCTACAGATAAGCCTGGCAGAGCTCAGAGGGCACGAGGCCTGGTCCAAAGTCCCAGGCAAAGGAGGCCAGAGGCTGACACAGTGGGATGAGCGGAACAGGGCCCTCCACCTGGGCAGTTCCCTCCCTCCCTCCCTCCCCTCCAGCTCCTCGTCTGCAAGTGGCTGGCTGGGGCCAGAAGCCAGCTAACTCCCGGGCCCCTAAAGCCTCTTCAGGGGGAGGAGGGGAGTCTGTGTGCTGGAATGTGACCCTCGGTACAGAAGTTACAGCTGGAGGGACCTTTTGAAAAAGCCCAGACTCCCGAACTGTCACGATGAGGAAACTGAGCCCAAGACCCTACAGCCTCGAAGGAGCAGATATGCTACTTGCTATGGGTTGAATTAGGTCCCCCCAAAAGGTACTGAAGCCTTAACACCTGGTACCTCTGGAGAGGATCTCATCTGGCAATAGGGCCTTTGCAGATGTCATCGGGCTGCGATCAAGTTACATGGATCAGGGGGGCCGCCGCGACGCTCACATGACCGGTGTCCTCAGAGAAGGGGGACAGTTACGCACTGAGAGACACACACGGGGAGGAGATGGTCATGTGACGATGGAGGCAGAGACCGGGGAGATGCATCTCCAAGCCACGGGGCACCAGGGACTGCCTGCTTGGAGGTCACAGAAAACACGTGCACTGGTCTCTGCCCCTGGCACTGAGCTCCTGAAACCCTTGTCACTTCCCAGGTGACGTCAGTGTCCTTATTCTAATGAGGCAACTCTGGTGGGCTCCCGATGGCTCCTGGATGGGGGCTGCTTCACAGGGTGAAAAGCTTGGGCTTTCCAGCCCAGCACACCCGTTCTCTGGAGAAAGGGGAGGGGCTCTGATGGAATGAACGGTCAATCGTGCCTAGGAGGAGAAGCCTCCATAAAAATCCCCACAGTGCGGGGTTCGGAGAGCTTCTGGGTGGTGAGCATGGGGAGAGTGGTGAGCTCGGAGAGGGCTTAGGATGGCACACCCCTTCCCATACACCCTGCCCTGTGTGTCTCTTCCATCTGGCGGTCTACCGTCTCCTTTAGCATATGCTTTAATAACCTGGTGGTCCTAGGTGGTTTGGCTCAGTGGATAGAGCGTCGGCCTGTGGACTGAAGGGTCCCGGGTTCGATTCTGGTCAAGGGCACATGCCCAGGTTGTGGGCTCCATCCCCAGTGGAGTGGGGTGGGGCATGCAGGAGGCAGCCAGGCGATGATTCTCTCTCATCATTGATGTTTCTATCTCTCCCTCCCTCAAGGGGGAGGCAATGTTTGAAGTGCTCCCGCCTCTTCTGAGAGGAAAAGCGGTCCTGCCCATGCTGATCCTGGCCTCCTCCCCACCTCCCCCCCCCCCCCCGCCCCTCCTTTAAGGCCGGCGGTGAGCAGCCTGCGCTCTGCCTGGAGTTCCACTTCTTGTCTGGGCAGAATTAGGAGCCAAACCCTTCATGCCCCTGCCTGCCCCTGTTCACCCTCGGCGCGATGCCTGTTCTGTGCTCTGGGCTTCCGGCGACGGCCCTGCCCACCTCTGCACGGCAAACCCTCCTGAAGCTGGAGTGAGCTCTATGCGTTTCAGCCAAGCCCCTAGCGTGTGCTTCTGGGGTCAGACCTGTGGACTGTCCTCACTTCTCTGCACCCTGGACTCTGTGTGCTGGACACACAGGACTGGCGGCCTGTGCAGGAGGGAACTCACACCCTCCCCTCCTGTCCCCTGACTCTCTGCCTGGCTGCAGGTGGGGAATCAGGTAAGCTAGCCCCTGAGAATGGGGGGGGGGGGGTATTAGGGGTGTAGCGGGGGAGGAGACCCACAAGGGGCGTTCTGAGGGAGTCTGGCCTCCTCAGACTCCCTCCCAGGGCCCAGCTTCCCAACCATCAGGGATGCCCAGCTCCACACACTTCCCTCCAACTTCAGAAGCTGCAGGAGTGGAGGCCACGGAGGTTCCCTCACACGTCGTCTCGCTGAGGTGCCTCTGCCTCCATGAGCCGTAAGGGACCAGCCTACGGCGTTAGCCGCAGTGGCATGAGGCAGGAGTGGAATTTTGTACCTGCTTTACACCGTCTGACCCTTGATCTGGCATCAGCACTCCTCGGCTGACAGTTTTGAGCAAACAACACACCCACCCTCCTCTATCAAACAAGGTGTAACATGACGGGCTGCCTTACCCGCGGGCCTGACGGCGGCTGGAGGCCGTGGAAAGGAGACACAGCCATCCCGCTCTGCCAGCCCCTCCCTGAGCTGTCAACCCAGCAGGAGGCCCGGAGGGCTCGCCCCCCAGGTGTGAGGTCTGCCACCAGGTTAGCAGAGACGCTGAGCACCAACAGCCATGCTAGAAGCACTTCATCCTTTTCCGCCTCGATCCTGGGTGCAGTTTTTGGCCGGACTCCTGCCTGCTGTGGGCCAGGCCACGTGGGCCCACCGGGAAGCGCTGGGGATGGAGGGGCCAGTCCTATCAGTGGTCGGCCCTGGGGTTCTGGGAGGAGGATTTAGCCTTTCTAACCCTCCGTCTCCTCGTCTGTGATAGAGTGATAACAATGTCCACCCTGCAGTGGGCAGGACGAGGTCTGGAGTAGACCTGGGTGGGTTTGATCCACCAGCACCCAGATCCTGAGCGTTACCCGGCCTCTGTGCGTCGGGTTCTCCCCTTGGAGAAGGGGGGTCATGTGGTACCACCGGTGGGCTGCTGGGAGGATTGAAGGAGACAGTGTCGTCCTCCTCCATCCCCCCCCCCTACACACACACACACACACACAGTGCACACACGCACACGCGCACACACACAGTGCACGCTTAAGAAGCACAGGCACAGGCTTCCTCCTGCCCCCGGGTTACCGGTTATGGTGAAGCGCATGGGCGGGAACTGCATGGACAGGCACTGTGAACGACAGGCACGTTTGGGTTGGTTTAATCCAGTGTTTCCCAAACTTCTCTCATGATGAGAATCACCTGGTGGAGTTGTTAAAACTACAGATTCCTGAATCCCAACTAAGAAGCGCACTAAGTTAAGTATACAATTTTACCTATATGTTCCCAAAAATTCCAGTTTAGCACTTCTTAGTTTTGGGATTCAGGAAATCTGTAGTTTAACAACTCCACCGGGTGATTCTCACCATGAGAGATGTTTGGGAAACTCTGGTTTAATCCGTCGTCCTTAAACGCTGACTACTCTAAAGTGGCTGTAATTGAGGTGGCCACTTGGGTAGCCTCCACCCGCCCCCCATCCACGCTCCTCCGGACCGTCCCGGCCCGCGCCCCGGCCCCCTTCCTGCAGGAGCCGCCGCCGGCTCTGCCCGCGGAGCCCGGCGCCCGGTCCGCCCGGTCCGCGCGGAGCCGGGCCCGGCCGCCGCTCAGCGCGCGGTGCCCGCCCCCGGCCGCCCCGGGCAAAGTCCGGGCTGGCGCTCACCCTCTTGACGAGGAAGCCCTCCTTGAGCACGCCGCCGTCCTCCGGGTCCCCGCCGGCGAGCGCCCCCGGGGCGCCGTCCCCGCGCCGCATGCCGCTCCGGCTCCTCGGCCCGCGCGGGGAGAGGGCGCGCCGCCCGCCCGGTGCCGCCCTCCTGGCCCGCCGCCAGGCCCGGCGCCCGGTCGGAAGTCAGACCTGGTTGGGATCCCGGACGTGGACTCCCCCAGCCCCCCCGGGGGCCCAGGTTGGTCCTGAAGGGACAGAGCCCGCCGCCGGAGCCGCCCCCGGGAGAGCCTTCCCGCCGCGGCTCTCTCCGCCGCCGGCCGGGCAGGGCGCCCCGTCCCGGTGCCCCAGGGCGCTCCGTGCCTCCGACTCTCTCTGCCCGGCTTCCTCCTCCCCCCGCCTGCACCAGGCGCTTAGTATGCTGCCCTTGGGTAATAGCGATGGAATCAAATGGAACTGAACAGATTCCAAGGATTTTGAACAGAGATTCCCAGCCTTTTTCATCTCATGGCACATGTAAACGAATTACTAAAACTTTGCGGCATACCAAAAAAATACAATTTTTGCCGATCTATCAAAAAAGTAGGCATAATTTTGATTGATTTGCAAATAATAATAATAATAATAATTAATAGTGATTACCTACCTACCCTATTTGCTCCAAAGTGACTTTTTAAAAAACCAGGAGCCCATAAGAGTATATAAGGGTTTCTGGCACCAAGAATTAGCCAATCAGATGCAGCCTTATTATGTGGCATGACCAATAAGAGGCATTCTATTGTATGACCTACATGCTAGCTAGTATTTATGGTCCAAGACAGGGCGTTCACACTCCACAGCTATTGTGTTGGCCGTTGTCACTTTTTTATTTGACAATCTGAGGGGAAAGGGCTCAGTGCCGCTGACTAAACAGTTTTTTGCGTGTTTTAAAAACTCTTACGGCACACTTGGCTGAAAGTCACTGATCTAGAGTCATCCCTGGGTTCAATTGAAATGGAGGCGTGAGAGTGGATGGGGAGGCACCAGGCTAGGAACTTACCCTGGCCTCTGGCGGAGGCAGAGAAAAGCTCCCGTTAGCAAGGTCACGGGCTTACGGAAGCAGGCACTGTCCGAGGGGGCGGGGGGGGGGGGGCTTTGCCCCCCAATTACTTCCCTCCCCAAAGGGCTAGAGCTGAAGATTTTTTTAAAATATATATTTTATTGATTTTTTACAGAGAGAGTCAGGAACATCCATGAGAGAGAAACATTGATCAGCTGCCTCCTGCACACCCCCCACTGGGGATGTGCCTGCAACCAAGGTACAATACATGCCCTTGACCGGAATCAAACCCGGGACCCTTCAGTCTGCAGGCAGATGCTCTATCCACTGAGCCAAACCAGTTTCGGCTAGAGCTGAAGTTTTAATCCTTGTGCAAAATGTAAGGGCGTGCCAAGGAACTCCGCACTCTAAATAAATGACATTTTAATGCAAAAAACTTTCAAATGAAAATTAATGCAAAAATTCAGGTTGAAGAAAATACCAAAAAAAATTTTAAAATATATTTTATTGATTTCTTACAGAGAGGAAGGGAGAGGGACAGAGAGCCAGAAACATCGATGAGAGAGAAACAGTGACCAGCTGCCTCCTGCACACCCCCCACTGGGGATGCGCCCGCAACCAAGGCACATGCCCCTGACAGGAATAGAACCTGGGACCCCTCAGTCCGCAGGCCAACGCTCCATCCACTGAGCCAAACTGGTTTCGGCAGAAAATACCAAATTTTTAAATGAAGACTGAGTCCATAGCAGAACACATGGGAGCCCAAAACAAAAGGAAACCTCAGTAACACCGATTCTGTCTGGCAATCCTCAGGACATAGCCATTGCGTTTATTTTGCTCGCTGCACGCTGAGAACACCGTTAGGATGGCTCACCAGGACGGGATAGGCCCCACATGCCTAAAAGGGAAGAGAAGGCTCTAGATTGGGAAACGGTGCCTCAAGCTGTGGAAAACCAGCCGTGCCAGTCAAAAGCAGCCTGGCGCACACACCTAAACCACGTGAGATGCGCAAGGGGGTGGGAGGGGGAGGGTGGCAGTGGCACCTGTCAGCCTTTTGCACAGACTGACTTCAGGTCTCCCAGCCAGTCCCACAGCGATGGTCTTCCGCCAGGTTTTCAGTGAGCAGACTGGCTCAGCGCCTTCTAAAGCCAGGCCTGAGGTTGGTGCTTCCCTGTTTCCCCGAAAATAAGACAGTGTCTTATATTAATTTTTGCTCCCAAAGTTGCGCTAGGTCTTATCTTCAGGGGATGTCTTATCTTTCCATGCACTAGGTCTTATTTTCGGAGGATGTCTTATTTTCGGGGAAACACAGTAGGTTTTATATAATGCACAGCAACCCACAGGGTAAGTTTATTATCCCATTCTCTCCAGCCAAGGACATGGAAACCTGAAGCAGTTAAAGAACGTGCCCAAGGTCCCCGATGCTAACGCCAGGGCAGTGTGAATGCACCTGCTCCTCCGTTCCTGAGCAGGGAAGAGGAAGAAAGATGACGCTGAGCTCTGAGACATGGTGGGCTGAGAATCTGGAGGGGGAAATTCGTATCTCCTTTGGCTCTACCTAAGCTGTTATTCTCCTCCTTCCTCCCAGATGCCAGGGGAGAGGCAGTTGGCATACAGGTTGTTTTAGTCTTACCCAAACACTACCTTCTGAGGCTTAGCAGGGGTGGCATTGTCTTTGGCAAGAAGAGTTCCTGAATGAGTTCACAGGAAGACTGGTTCTCCCTCCGGACAGTGCCCCTTAGGATGGAGCTAGGCCTCGGATACTTAGAACCTGCTTTCCATCCTGGGACAGCCCCTGTCCAGCCCACCCTACGTCTGACTCACTGAACCCAGGGCATGAGTCACCGCCCCCTCCCCTGGCTGTGGTGGCTGAGCCATCAGCCCACCAGGGAACCACACTGACATAAGCCCGACTCAACCACAGGGAAGAGGATGGAGACAGAGGAAGCAGACAGCAAGTTATGAGCAGCTGACTCAGGGAAGGGAGCGGGGAAGGAAGCTCGGACCCGGGAGCTGGTCTCCTCTCCTCTGCCTCTCAGGGTCAGACACTGGTGTGGAAGGGACCCTGACTCTGTTACAGGGGCCAGGTAATGTCACACCATTTGAAAACGACTGACCTAGCCCTAACCGGTTTGGCTCAGTGGATAGAGCGTTGGCCTGCGGACTGAAAGGTCCCAGGTTCAATTCCAGTCAAGGGCAGAAACCTTGGTTGTGGGCGCATCCCCAGTAGGAGGTGTGTAAGAGGCAGCTGATCGATGTTTCTCTCTCATCGATGTTTCTAACTCTCTATCCCTCTATTCCTCTCTGTAAAAAAAATTCAATAAAATATACTTTAAAAATAATTGCTGACCTACACAGAAGGAATTTTTACATGCACATATATTTTATAAAGTTTTACTTTTAAAGTTTGATCCCTGCCTTTTTCATTTATAACAGCAAATAAGCACCTTATCAAATCATTAAAAACAACTAAAAAATATAACTTTAATGGCTGCTGCATAATATTCATCATGCCAGTATCATAATGTCTTTAATCATTTCCATTCAGGTTGAATTTCCTGTCTCACTCTGTGTAAATGTTGCTATGATAAATATCTCTGTGCATAAACATTTTGCCACATCTTTATTTCATATAAATATGTGGAGCATACTTTCATGTTAAAGGGCATACATTTTTAAAATTCTCGATACATATTTCCAAACTGCTTCCTAGAAATGTACCCCGTGACGCCCTCGCCAGTGGGGCGTGAGAGGACCAGCCTCAGATGTCGATCCCAGCACAAGGTGCAGTATTTCCAGAAACGTTTGCTGACTTTATCAGCATCAACAGAGACCATCCAGTTCCGCGGGCTCTGAGTAATCCCCGTCAGGTGGGCCCCTGGGGACTCCCAGGAGTCAGCCAGCTGGCGGAGGTCCCCCTGGGAGAGACGCAGAACTGACAACCTGCTGGGGAGGAGGGGGGTTATTCCGTTCAATGACGCAGGCCTCCGTCACGCACCGGAGTGTCCTGGCTGACTCCCTGCTCCCCCACCAGCACCATCGGCCCTGCGGGCCCCCTGGAGCCCAGCCCTGTGGAGAGATGGCCCCTGGCAGGAGGGGGTGGAGCAGGATGCATAGCATGACTCAGCCGTGCAAGCAGGCAGAGCTGGGTCTGTTTAATGTAGATAAGGGCCCTCCCTCCTTCTCATTTCCCTCCCCTTCTTCCCTCCATTCCCTAAATGTTACCCCTGGAGGGCAGGCTTTCTTTTGGGTGAAAAATAAGGGGCATACCCTTGGCCTGAGGATGCCCGAGGAACCCCAGCAGGAGGTGGTGGCCAGGGTGCCAGGTGCCGGCCATAGGATCACATCGGTCACAGCCGCTCTCCGGCCTCCGAGGCGCCCCCTTGGCTGATCATCAGACTCACCTGCAGGGCTTGTACCAGCCCCACCAGGCCGCTGCTCACAGCGAGGCAGGCGGTGTCCTGTACAGAGAGCACGTGGCAGTCCACACTCCACAGTCCACGGCATGCACCCCCCTCCCAACCCTACCCTCCCCGCCCAGGGCTGCATTCCCCAAAAGAAAGAAAGCTTGTTCTTTTTTTAAAATATAATTTATTGATTTCAGAAAGGAAGGGAGAGGGAGAGATAGAAACATCAGTGAAGAGAGAGAATCATTGATTGGCTGCCTCCTTCAAGTCCCCCTACTGGGGATCTAGCCAGCAACCCGGGCGTGTGCCCTTGACTGGAATCGAACCCAGGACCTTCAAGTTCACAGGCTGATGCTCTATCCCCTGAGCCAAACAGGCTAGGGCGGAAAGCTTTTTCTTTACCTAAAGTCTCTGTCTCCTTGCCAAGCCACACCCCAGCGGGGCTTTTTCTGTCTCCTATGAAAGTAGCAGGGACCTCGTCCATCCCGGGACAGTCTGTGTCATGGGCCGGGGAGTCCCTGCTTTAGAAATCTCTCCAGGTGGGAAAAGGAAGGAAAGACTCTCAGGGCTGCGTTGGCTCTGTGTCTCAGCCCGCCTCCGGGAAGGCCCTCTCCGCCCCAACGACAGGGTGTCCGTGCACGTCAGCCCCCTTGCTGAGGGAGCCCCGACTACGTCCTGCAGCCCCCGAGCAATGAATGCTTGGCG